TAGAGGAGTTTCAGAGGTCATGTGCAGGTTCAGTCCCCAATGAGTGAAAGTGTGATGAAAGCTTAGTGAAAAACGTTGTGTTATAGAAGAAATTTAAAATATACAACCAACGTGTAATCTCGAGTTTAATCAATAACTTCGAGTTCTTGAATAAAGTTTAAAAAAAACGAGGGCTTCTTAGTTAGTAATAGAGATTGGAAAACATCAGTATTATATTAAAGATTATGAATATTAAGCAAAACTAATACAGTCAAGATTTGTTCAATTAAACAACATTTTTAAGTCATGGTATAGAAAATACGACCAATTAAAACCAGAACTAAGATCTAAGTTGAACTTTGAGTAATCTATATTATTATTAATTATTAAATATAATGAACCATCTAGGAAAGCATAAATGAAACATCTTATCATTAACACTCCTGTCAAATAAAAGTCCCGATGAGCCTATGTAAGGTCAAACAAAAAGAAATAGGCACCATTTGCTTGGCTTTCCAACTATCTTAATCTTTTTTAAAGGTATTCCAAATCAATCGATCATGGAGTACTTTAGGCCTTTTCTGTTATTAAAGAAATATACATTTTGAAATAATAAAATTCAATGGTTCCCTTTATAACTCCTTGAAGTGCGAAACTTCTCATTGGAATTCCAGTCAAGTAATCCGTGTTAACCAGTGTGGACACACGTAACAAAGGAGAAATCCAAATCAGAAAGAGTTGGCACTATCTGCTTTCCTTGCCCCCAGCATGTGTATGTGTGGGTCCCGAGTGTGTGTATGTGTGAAGGAACTTCCGCTGTGCTCTTCGTTATGGTGGTGTTGGTGATGATGGCGTTGCCATTGCTTCCGCTGCGCTGGCTTAGATAATGCCCGGGCTAAGCAGTGGGCACAGCACGTGACTGGGGAGGGGGTGTGGATCAAGGGATGGGGATGGAACCCAGCTGCCGAGAATCCGGGCGCAGATTCCTTGATATCCCTCATAGCAGCTCCACGGGCGATGGCGTTTATTAAGCGCATATAATCGTAAAAAAATTAGCTTGTATGAAATACGCACTGAGGCTGCGACAGAAACTTGCGGGTAAAACGTGACAAAGGGCGGGGGATTGGAACTGGGTGCTTAAAATGCAAATGACATAAAGTGTAGTGTCTTTCCAGGGAGTCGAGTCATCGCTGTGCTTTCTGCTCCTCCATCCCTTGCCACGGAATTACTTAAGCATTTTGATTAAACGACCTGTTTTGCTTTATTCTCGTCATAATTTGAATTAATGTTGGAGCTTAGGGCGCAAATTGCTTTGTTTTGCTAGTTTTGAATGGATTAGGCACCCAACGGCAGGATGGAACCCAGTGCTGTTAATTAAAAAAGGGAAGGCAATCCATTATAGTCTTGTTACCGAAGGTAGACTGTAGTTTCAATTAGTGACACAGCGTTCTGTTCATTTGTAATAATTAAAAACATAAACATAAAGGTCGGATGTCTTTAAAACATTTATGATAACGCTTAGCAATACAAGCTAAGCTTTCTAATGATATCAAAATATACTAAAGTACTAAATTCAATAACACGATACAAAGAACCCATTAAAGCTCTTACAGTTTGTAACCCAAAATCGCAAATTGCATAAATTAAAATTAATTTATTTACAGAAATTGAATTGAAATGATACTGTGTGTATGTAAAATTTTAAGTTAAAACATATGTTTCGTACTTTATGTTATTTTCAAAGCGCCTTTTAAAATTATCTTGTTATTACTTTCTTGAATTTCGAAGATGGTCGAAGATGGTTCACAAATTCAACTGCATTCCTTCAGTGCTTGTAAAAATTGTATTCAACATTATAAAATCCCGATCCAAACACGTTGAGCTCGGTGAAAACGTTGATTTGACATTATATTCAGCATGGAGCTCAATCTTCCGTTTTCCATGAGACGACATGAAGGTAAATGTTTCCTATTCTTGACACAGTTCGTGTACACACACCGAAATCAATATCCGCCTAGAACTGCCATTCGCTGCCATCGAGTGTCACACATTTCATTTCCGGCTGTCTACAGGACACGCCCACATATGCAGATTTACGCGACCTTCCTGGACCCTCTTTTTGCTGGTTGCTATTCCTCATTCGCCCAATGTTGCAGGATGTTGCCCCAAATAGTTGTCGGAAAAGGGATCTAGGCGATGTCCCTGCATATTTTTTATTTGCTGGCTAGGTCCCTCCTTGGCAAGTCCCTTATTTTATTGTTCTTCGTAGCAAAGTTTAGGGCTCATTGAAAAACTGAGGCTTGAAGCCCGCTATTAAAATGGCTAAAACTTGTAATTGATTGTCTACTGCTAACGCTTAATTCAGAGCATACAAAAGGAGAAGTCCAGGAACGACGGCGAAACAACTGTAGCAAGTAGCTCGAGAAACAATAAATAAACCAATAAAATTTTAGTGGCACGTAGCATAAAAAGCACTGAGCACAAAGAAAGGACAGAGTGGAAGTGGGCTTAAAACAAAAGCGAGGGAGGAGGCCAGGAAGTGGTCGGAAGTCGAGTCGAACTCGGACCCGGAAAAGTCGGGAAACTCGAGGCGAACAGGTTGCGTGAGCCTGTCAGCATAAAAATCGCTGGAACAGGCTCGAGTGGGTGGGCAAATAAAAGCATTACAATATACACAGCAGAAATACACACAATAACCGGGCTACAATTGTCTGGCTTTGATACCGGGTCTGAGGCCTCAGCCTTGGAGTGTTGCCAAAAGTGGAAAGTTTTCAATTGCCAGGATTTGTGTCTCCGGGCCACACCCACACACCTCGGCCCAAACATCCACCTCAGCCTCGGGCACTTGTTTACGTACTTCGCTGTGCGCAGAACGCGTATCAATCAACTGGGCCACGGGGCGTATGAATTCGGTCTTGAGGACGGAGACAAAAGGCACAAAGCCCACACCGTTTCGAATGCCATAACATGCCCGACCAAATGTGTTGTTTTCCAAATTAAATTTACTTCGCCCCCCAGAACCTAATCAAAGTGCTAGGGCCGCCGTCATGAACTAGGCGTTCGATTGGAAAGTTACTTTCCGATTTACGAGGGGATATGCAAATTTACAAGTAGTTTAAGGGATGCCAATCCTTGCAAGAACATCTAGGCTTTTTCTTTAAAGAAAGTATACGTTAAGGCTAATCCAGGGAAAGTTTTTAGTTATTAAAAACAATTTTACAGTTCTTTCATAACATAAATACTTTTATCGGTAAATATAATGGTAATTATTATTTTTATAAGAAAATAGTACAATTTGAAATTGATTATTTTTTATATAATTCAATTTTAACTTGGCTTTTGTAAATCCAATCTAACATTATTATATTGGAACCAATTTGAATGAAAGGGGTTAATGGTGTGCAGGTTTGTTTGTTTTTTTACGTTTATTTCCGTTTTGTTATTAGGAGACAACCCGTGTCAATATAGGGTACAAGGTGTTCGATTCTAAAACGCTTTACTGTCTTGGAGTGACTCACGATAGGCCGTGCTGTTTCAGCGGGTTCCCTGTGTTTGGGCGCCGTTTAAGCCGTGCCCTTGGCGGCCGCTCTCAATCATATCTGATCAAATCAAATCAACCGCCTCGTCCTGCTCCTGGCATCCTTACAAGGCGTTCCCAGTTAAGTGTGGGCGTCGTCTCGATGACGCATGAATTTTTGGTAGGTGACTAGGAAGAGACTTGCCGAAGGACGTGGGCGTTGGGCGGATGCTGATGAAGATGTGGGCTATAAATACGCCGACGATGTGATGGCTGCCTGGCATTTCTAGCACCCTGTCTCCACACATTTTGCGGTTATTAAATTTATTAAGTTCCCTGCTAGGCGGGGATGATGAGTGGATTGATGATGGATGATAGATGAAGCTGTTGGCAGATGTCTAACTAATTAAGAATAGGCGCAAAACGCCTAAATGTTGTGGGTGCGAATGCTCAAAAACCCGAAAATGGCTTCCGAGTAATTTAAAAAAACTTTAACAACCATTTAAAATATAAACGAAGCGTTAATCAACGCCCAATCTAATTTTTTGAAACTTTTCTAATTATAAATCTGTTCTCGTGTAATATACAAGCACACTTTTCGGTCTCTACCAAAAAAATACTTGAAACGAAACACAGAATTGCCAACAATTTATCACGCCACACTTAATGTTTTTTCTTTTTGTGCGCCTTTTTCCCATTTTCCAAAAAATAGGCATTAAGAATATGCGCCCTTGGCGAAAACGAGAGCCAGAAATCAACTTCCGTTGTGCAGCGGAAGTGAAATGTGAAATTTGAAATTTATTATTGGCAATGCAAAGAGACCCGGAGGAGAAACACAAAAAAACTCGGAAGGTGGTGGGCGCAGGGCCCAAACAATATTTATGTTATTAAACTGAAATCAATGTGCAATATCCGCTGGCGAGTCAATAAATTCAGTCAGTAGAATTCAAGCTGATTGGCACGAAATCATTTTGGGGCACAGCCGTCCTTTTCCAATTTATTTCATTGCCATTGATTTGTGTTTATTTTATTGTAGCTGTCACACTGTTGGCAAACGCCATTTAAATTATAATTTTGCGACCAATCTTGCGTTTCATAAAAACAAAATTAATGTTTATAAGATAATCCAATTTTGTAAAACTGACGTCTTTTTCAACTTTAAATTATTGTAAAAGTAAGAAATAAACCAAGAATACTTAAAATAGACTTAAATATTTTAATTAAAAAAAAAAACGATTTAATTTTTTTTTTAGATTTCTAAATTTTTGTATTGTCTGTTTACTTATCGTGGTCAAAATATTGGTGATACTATACTAAAAAAACAACAACAAGATCTAAACTAGAGGTTATTTTAATGTAATACCGTAACTCTAAAACCTGGAAGTCAGACTTCATGTGGAATAAAATATAGCAACGGACAATACAATAAAAATGATTTAAATTATTATTTTATAAAAAAGTTGTAATTCTAAAAAAATTTCTGGTTACTTTTCTTCTCTTACAGCAAATATAAATGAAACATTTAGCAATGACATAAAACTGCTGCCAATTAAATTGCTACTCTGCCCCCGATCATTTCAAAGCTTGCTGCTTTGCTTCAACATAAGACTTTTACTTCTATCCAAACTTGTTCCGCAAAATCAGTCAAGCTGGCGTCGTTCAAGCAGAAAAATAACAATAATACTATAAGCAATTATAATAATAATATAATGTGGAGTAGTACTATATCGCCAACCAACTCTAAGAAACTATTGATCGGTAGCACACGCAGCGTTGATTATGTCGGTGATAGTGCAAGGACAGCAGCAGGCAACAACAAATCAGGAGCAGCAGCAACAGCAGGAGCCAAAGGATCAAAAGCTAAAGCCACCGCCATCGCAGCCACAGCCGCAGCAGCGAACACAACAAAGATCTCAATTGAAATGGAGCTTCATATACAGAATAAGTGCATTTCGGCATAGCGCATCACTCTGGAGGGTGGTGCGGAGCCGCCATGGCTGCAGGGCCCCCTTAAAGCCGCATTTTTGGGGGCTACTGGCGTCGGCAAAACAAGTATATTACAGGTGAGTCCTAGTTCAAGGCGAATATAAAAGAATGAGTCCTTTTTTCCAGACACCGGTAAAAAAAAAGATATATAAAAACTCAATTGCGAATTTTTTTTAATTTCTTTTTTTTAAACGTTATTTCTAAATATATGAAAATTGCTCCAAATTTATAAAACAAATATATAGTGCAAACAAATTTCATAGTTCAATAAAAAAAATTATATTAAATTGCATGATTCATGTTAAGTATACTAAAATGAAGCAAAACAAAGTTAAAAAGTATCGACCTGATTTTTATATTAAGAGATGATAACTATTAAATATTTAAATTGGGGGTCAATGATGAAAGGACTATTTGTTAATTCCTGGAACTTTTTTTTAGTGTATACATACATATGAAGTGATATGTTATCTCTGCATTTAATGCAGTTCACATAGTCCAAATTTAGATCACTTACCTGTCTGATAAGATGTTCTTGCGTAAACCTGATCAAGGCCTCGGTGGCGCAGTTGGCAGCGCGTAAGTCTCATAATCTTAAGGTCGTGAGTTCAAGCCTCACCCGGGGCATATACCTTTTTTATTTTTTCGCTCCATATTTTATTTTATTGAAATGTTATTTACTATTCGAACGTATCAATTATATTTGAACAAAAAATAAACAGATTTGAACAAGCTTTTTTAAGGTTTCCAAAACCAAAGTAAACATGTTTAACCTCTTCTTAGACCGCCAACTTAACTATATATGGCAACCCCAATTAAAGCACAAGTCTAAATATATTAGTTTCAATTCCAAATGATCAAAGTACATTTATCAAACATTGCTACTTAATTGATGTAATTAATACGGAATCACCAATGATAATTTAAATGTTGGTTAAGTGCAGTTTTGTAATGCAATTAAAATTAATGACTGTAATAATCATTAGTCCAATACGATCCAATCATCAGCATCATAGAAAGGGTCCTCGTTGTCGATTCGCATTAATTAATTTTGCAATAATAAATTGCATTTTCAATTAACACAATTCCTGATTAAAACTTTTCCCAATACAAACGAAACGGTAAATCCAGGGGATGATGAAATGTTGCAGACATGCAAACGCTGCACTTTTCGTGCTCCAACTTGGCTTTAAATTATTAATGGGCAACGGGCGACCCCGATGAAAGCTAAAAAGTTCAGCGGCAAACTTTTTAATAGACCAGTCTCATGGCAGCTGGCTCTCATCGTCGATGTTTAGCGCACCATCTACCTATAAAGCCACCTCCACCAGGACCCACATCCTTCCTCGTCCTTCACACTCTTTTCCCAGATCTGCTAATTGCATTTGTGTGCGTGTGGGAGCGTCGTTAATTTGATTTTCGCTTCGCATCGTATCTTTTGTGGTTTATCTTTTGTAATTAGACAATGGCAAGGCACAGAGCTAGAATGCCTCATATGTGTTTAGCAAGGGTGCCTACCTTTCAGAAAGAGTATATCAAAGTGTGACACTATGACACTGGACAAGAGCAGCCTGTTGGATTTCATTTGTAAAAGAAAGAAATCCTCTGTAGCTTAGTTTTAGCTAATATTTGCAGATAGCATCTTATAAGTGTCGAAATTAGTTTACGAAATTAACATTTAATATTCATAGATCAGTATACATTCACATCATTTTGTGTGCTTGAAGTCGGTTGTAATAAGAGTTCTTTAAGTTAATTTCTTAAAATATTAAGTCTTGTTGTTTGGCTTACAATTTAATAATCTTTAATTTTAGTTATTAAAATGTGTTTGTAGGGTAAAAAACACAAAAATACATTAATTTCTATTAAAAAAGTTTTTAAAAGGTTGCTTAATCATTCAAAATTGACAAGTTCAATTAATGTGCACCAATAAATAAAATGTTTGGCAATTCCATTCAGCTAAAGTTCAATTAATTCGTTTTTGTATACAATGCTTTTCCATTGCACTGCACTTCTACTTTTGCTTTGTTTTCTTTATTTTTTAAATATGGAAAATAAATGGATAATATGGATGAATAAACAAATATGGAAAATCGATATAAATTCACTAAGCTTTAATACAGAATGAAATGGTTTTTAAATTATATGAAAGTAAATAGAGAATAAAAATGTTATGACCTTTAATGATGAAAGCTGCCTGACGCCCGGAAATTTCCTACATAAAATATGATATAAACATAAAATATCACAATGTATAGCTCAGCCGGCAGCTGCTTTTCGCCGTGGCAACGGAAATTGTTTGCAAATAGAGTATAAGCCTCGGCATGGGAAACGCTCCATTTTCCGCCAACCTCCCGGCCCCCACCTTTCACCTCCCGCTCAGCAAATTCAATTAACTGCAGTTGGCAGTTGCGAGTTGGCCGCTTTGCCATTTGCTTTCCCGCTGCGCTCTCCATTATTTTCCACACATTTGTTTGTGTGTGCTTTACAGCTGCGTTTAATTTCCACCAACCTAAGCGCGCGTGTGTGTGCGTAGCTTTTAGGACCGCTTTTCCATGGTCTCCTCGCCCTTTTCTGAACCCGGCTGTCCAACTTCCGCCATTTACCTCCCACCATCGTTCTTGTCTCGATTCCCGTTGGCCGCCTTTTATTGTTTGTAATGCGAGATTTGTGCATTTTTATGGCATTTTAAGCACTGCAAAATCAATTACGCCCTTTTTAATGGCTGTTGGCGGTCAAGCTGGCCGGGGAATCCCAGCTACGGGTGGTCACTGGAAGAGGTTGAAGCATTAAACATTGCCCAAACTATTATTGCTGCGTAAATGTAATAGGCGTGTAAACGAAAAGTGCGAAATCAAATCACTTAATTGCCATAACAAGATAAAGCAAATCGAGGCAGTCGGTTTTGTCTTGCTGTTACAAGGACAATAACATCAAATAAATATCCTTGAAGTACAAAGTAGGACTGAGTAGTTTGACAAAAAATCAAAGCAACCTTTGTTATTTTTTTCCGTTCGATTTAAAATTTGGGCAAAATAAATATTTTAACTTAAACTTTGGCTATCGTTTTTAAGTTACAGCGCAGAATGAGCGGGAACCTAAAAAGTCATAAACTTTTTAAGTTCCTGAGATATTTTATAACTACCAAAAAATACAAAATAAATTGTGTTGGCCACATTTTTGGCAACAGATATTGGAAATACGGGTATCTTATATTTGTGATAATTTTCTGTTAAATGACTAAGAGACATATTGTTAAAGCTTGGGAAAGAGTAAAATAAATCAAATTAAACATTATTTTAAATTTATTTTAGTGTTCTTTTGTGATTTAACTTCATGACATTTCCCCACTGGCTCACATTGCCCACCCAAAATTTTAAAATAAGCTGCGCTAATTCCAGCGAATAAAAGGCAGAAATAAAACGCAGTGCATCATATCAATAAAAGTGCGCCATGAATATCTATTTGGGTAAATTTGGAAAAGCTGCTCGGATCCCCGGCGTGCTTATTTATGTGGCAGATAATGTCCCGCACTTTATGGGGCAGCAAGAAGCATAAAGAGGCGCAAAGCCGGCCACGACAACGGCAACGGCAACGACCCGGAGAAAGTGGCACGGAGAAAGTAGCACGAAGCAAGGAGCAAGAGCACGGAGCTCGAAACTGGAAACAGGAAACAGGACCTGGAGACCACAGCGAGATGGGAGAGACCATCAATGTCATTTCTTATTCAATTACCAGTTCAATAAAAATAAAACTCAATGATATGCGGAGCAGGGACATAAAAGCGATGAGATGTGAATCGATGTCATGCCAAGCGCTGCGATCTGACCCCTTTGGCACGCCCTCCGGCGACCTCCGCCCCCTTTTTCCCCGGGGAAAGTGGTTGTGTGTGCAGCGTATAATTTTAAAGTCATTCGCCCTTTTAGGCCAACCAGCGGTGACATTTCGCTGTCTCTCTGGTCTCCCAATGCGGCCACTTCCGCTTCCGGTGGTTGGCCTTGTCGGTTCCCTTTTGGGCGCTCGGTAATTGAATGGTAGTGCGCATAAATTGCATCTGATTTCATTGCATTGACAACAATGGGTGTGCTGATTGGCAGAAAAGAATTTGCATTTATATTAGACGAGAGTGGGATCGCGAGAGAAGCCCCGAAAGATTTTCACTTGACTTTATTATTAGCCAAACCCATCACACATGAACACTGAGAGATTAAATCTTAATATTTCATCACTTCGGAAATTTTCATAGGTAATTTTATCTATTAACAATTTCCGATATGATTTATACATGGGTATATATTTCCAAAATATGCTTAGCTATTTAACATGGAAAAAGTAACAGCTTTTTGACTTATTTTTCACTGTGTGTATACAATCAGGAAAATGGTAAATTGGAAATCTAGTCGATGGCTTCTTGGACCGACAAGGCATCACTTTAAAACGCAATCAGGCGTTAAATATCCTTTGAGCCTGCCACTCATTCAGCTCATGCATTGATACCCATTGCGTACATTGATACCCGCACACACAGTCCCTCACCCAACCGGCCACAGTCAAAATCTTCCCCACCCCGTCTGCGTTTCCCCTCTTTCATTATCATTTTTCTTTTTTTACAAACTGAATTTTATATCTCCGTCGGCCTTGGCTTTATTTTTAGGACGCTTTCCGTTGACTGCGATTTGCTTTGGCAACTTCGTCTCCTTGGACCCGGACCCCAGAGTAAAGACCCAATAGGAGATTGAAGGCAGCTCGGCTCGCTCAAAAGGCTGCGGGTTAATGGGGTCATTTCGACCACGGGGCAGAGTGAAATCCAAAAAAGTCCCGCGTGTGCGTTATGAGCTTTGGATTAGAGTTATGGCTCGTTACCGAGGCTTAAAAGAGCTAGTGGAGCGCAGCATTAAGGATCTAAAAATTTATTAACAAATTAAAGTGAAAGTTGAGGATTGTGAGGAGTTTATTGAAAAGAGCTTGGATTTTATTGAAAAATTATAGCACAATTTGAAAAAAGGAAAGAGATGGTATTTAATTGAAACTGTTTCTAAAATTCTGCAAGAATTAATAAAGAGCTAGTGAAGCGCAGCGTTAGGGATCTAAAAATTTATTAACAAATTAAAGTAAAAATTGAGGATTGCAAAGAAAAGTGCTTGGATTTTTTTGAAAAATTATAGCACAATTAAAAAAAAAGCGAGAAAGAGATAATATTCATTTAAAACTGTTTCTATAATTCCATTAATTTAGTATTAATATAACTATAAACCTATTTCTGCTTATAAGTTAATATGAAAGCTTATATGTACGATAATCTGAAGATAAAGATTATCTTGCTTGAACAAAAGCCATATTTAATTATAATTCTCTAGCTTTAAAAAAACACATTAAATAGAAAGTTAGTAGAATTCACAAGCAATGATAGCACAATCCGGAAACATTTAAGAAAAAATGATTAATTAAATCTTTTATATATTTAATCAGTTGCTCACGAAACTTACCCTTTGGTCTTAAAGCAATTCGGCTTTTAAAAACCCATTTCTAAATGTATTTAAATGGGATGTTCGGATTGCCTTGCTTAAACCTAAGCCATGTTTAATTATATTTCTCTATTCCGAATCCTACGCTCCGTTACACATATAGCTCATATTAACATTACCAAGCGCCTCATGTGCTTATAGTACTTTTTATGATTACACGACCAGAGAGAACATAAAATCCAAAGCATACATTTAAGCGCTTACAATTTTAATAAGCTAAAAATGTCCATGAAATATGTGTGGCTGTTTTTGTGAGATTTAGCCGGCCAAAGGACCTCATGCAAAAGCTCAGAGCGCATATTTAAAATGTTTGTTCAACATAGAAAAAGCAAGCAATGGGTAAAAAAACTGAAAAAATATTAGCTTGGCTTGCTTTTGGGCAGAGTTTTTATGGAGCCATTTGATTTGCCAAAAAAAAAACTAATTTTTATATTCATTGGTTACCCACGTGTCGCATGAGCAACATTTTACACTCATAATAATATTTAATTTGGGCAAACATGCAACTGACTGTGTTTTTCCGTGCTTATTTACAGCAATTTTTCTACCATGACTTCCCCAGGACTCATCAGACGACAACGCATCGCAAGATTTATAAAAACTGTCTGGTCTGCGACACCTGGATACGTGAGCTGATGGTACTGGACGTTCCGCCCCAGGTGAGTTAGCACCTGCCACCTGGCAGCCCCAGGCCCACAATAAATCCATCCCAGCCACAGACCCTGCCACAATTTCTAACTTTGCCGTAATTTAGTTAAAAGTTTGCCCACTGTCAGGGCGCGGCCGTAGTTGGGAATTTTGTAAAAATATGTACAAACTATTTTTATGCAATTTTCCAGTGAATTTCATGGTGCTGATGTATTACAAAATTCTCCATCCCTTGCCCGCTCGCCATAATAAATTGCTAAATAATCTAAATTGGCTCAAAGATCCACAGCCCCAACCAGTTGCAATCTGCCTGTCTGTCCAGCATAAATATTAACCTGGAGACAGTTTAAGTCTTCTTGCGATGTTTTCTTGTTCATGAGCCTGCTGACGGTGCTGTCTAGACTGAAAGTGGTACCTTCTGCATTTTCTCTACGAACTGAACAGTGGGAAATTCAAAATGGAACATCTTCTACCCCTTCACGCAGGCACTTTATCTACAACTTCTAATGCTCTTTAAAGGCAACTTTTTAAAAATATTTTTTTATAATATTCAATTGATGCTCTATACAATTTAAGCAATAAATTTTTATTTGAACTAAAATAAAAGAATATATTTAATTGCTGCCTTGTAGACAAGTTGGCATGACTTTTTCATGTTATCGTTTTGGATAAGCTTAGACAAATTGTATCTTACCAAATGATTTAACTTTTTTAAGCTTGAAATGTGTTAAAAACTTTTTCCTGCCAAAGTAAGCTTTTTCGTGTTTTTAATAATCATCGCACCAGAAGTGCCTTGAGCAACAGTTTACAACAACGCGGAAAACAAGCAACCACAACACCAAATGGCGCTACTCCTGATGTTGCCACGGGAAAACTTTCTTGTGGGTTTCCTTTTTTTCGTTATTCGGAATTTTTGCATAACACTTTAGGCATGGAAAGAATGTTTAACGAATCGGCAGCTCAATTTTTAAATCTGAACGGTCGATTTGATTTTTTATTAAAAGAAACGGAGGAAAATATACAATAAAGTATTTCAATTATAATTAATTAATTTTACTGGTCAATAAAAATAAAACACGTATGATTAAGACTAACCAAATCGAAAAAGAATTTATTAGTTGTCTTATGAATATGCCATTTATAGTTTATTACCAACTTTTTACAAGTTTTTCAATTATGAACTTTTCAAGGTAGTTTTACATATTTATAGATAGGATATTTCAGCAGCCTGCAATCCTCCACAACCATCTCTGCAAAAATATTGTTTGACCAGCACGCGCTGTTGACTTTATTAAAGCCCCGTTGGGCCCATAAAAGTGCTAGCCAGAATACATTTTTAAATTGCCAGCCAAGAGTGTCCAGGTAAATGGTGGTCAGCGTCAGCCGTTTACGATGCCAGTTAAACGAATATTTGAATATTATCAATATTTAACTACTCTGCTTCTTGCAGTCAAATTGTCCCAGAACTACAATATTACCCATTTATGGGCAGTAAAATTTGGCTCTATGGCCGACTACATTTTCGTCCGTTTATCTTGTGAGTCCAGTTGGCTATGTAAAAAGCTTTGAGGTCAAGAGTCCCCATTTTCCTGTTTGGACTTAGAACTTACTTTGGTTGGTCTCTGGACCTGCCATAAGACTTAGGCAATTAGGAGTAGTTTCGCCAGACCACAAATCACAAACTGACACCGAAATTGTTGAAAGAGATTCCACAGCCACTGCCTGCACCGTCTTACATCTCACTATTCGGCCATTCTGCAATACCGCCGCTTTTTGTCTTTTGGTCTGCCACGTTTAACTATCATAAAATATTTAGGGAGCACACTCTGAACAAGGCCAGTTGCTGTTTGGTTTTCCCCCTTGCCATTCTTAGATATTCAAAGCTTGAGTTTCCAAGTAAAAGGACACTGGTTTATGGTACTATAGAGTAACATACTCTTGAAAAGCTCTGCATTTTGTAGTTTCTTTAGCGTTAACAAGAAATGGTTAATATTGTATGTAATATGATTTCTAAATCCAAGGGCATAACATCCAACATAAATTATACTTGGGCAAACGCTCATCGATTTATAAAAAATCCTTGATGTCATTTATCGTGGAAATTGGAAAGATACCAGGTTATATTTTTTGGCCCTACGTACATCGGTTAAGACAACTGCATCCTTTGTTCCATGGCTGAATGAATGTGGAGCAGCCGTTGGCTTAGCAAATCGGGAACTGGGCCAAGTGTGTGCCGAGCTGAGCTGACAAAGTCGCCAAAGAATATCCAGCCCGATGGCAGCCACACCAATACCCAGCCCCACAAATTCCAGTAGATACGGCGGGAGGAATTGAAATGGCAAGCGGACCAAAAGAGTTGACAAGCAACAAAAAGCAGTTGGCAGTCGGGCAGTCAGCCAACCACATCCATTGTCGTATTAACTACGTGCTGGGCGACCCGCACCACCCCCTTTGCGACAGCGCCACCTCTCAATGCCTTTCAACTTATTCATGTCCATTTTGGCGTGAATTTGTTTTCGAGTACAGCCTTTCCTCCCCCAGTTTATTATACTCTTTGTTGTCCGTCCATTGTGCTGACCAAATGGCTGACTGTTGTCTAAAAGCGGGCCAACAGGGTTTTTTTACTTCGTTCAGGGACTGTGGCTCTCAGGTTGGAAACGCCGTCGCCTGTTTATTGTGGTAAATTTTTCATCGTCAAGTGCACTGCCTGGCAGTCATAACTCAAAGTCCACCTTAATGGTTTCCACTTGTACAAACAGCATTTATTTTCCAACAGATTTTCGCTCATATACACATTTACAAATGCAGGGGGAAAAGCGGGAACAGATGTTTTCTGTGTGTTTGTGTACGAACAGGAGGCCATTTAGTTGGCCATTGTTTTCTCAAAGTGAGCGACGCTCCTTAAAGCCACTCGAAATGACAATATAAGGGGCTGTACTCAATGAACCGGACTAACATGCCTATGGGCTCTGAAATATGTCGAAAAGCTTTTTTTAGATAATTCAACACTTGCCAATTCTGAATTTCTTTTTAAAAGAGGGAAAAATATATTTGTTAAGTTTCCGATGCTAAAACAGTGTACAAGAATTGATTTTTAAACTACGCTAAATATTACACAATAAAGACGCCACTAACTAATATGTATACTTTTTAAATCTGCTAAAATAATTGCATCTTACATGCAGTTGTAACTTAAATTTTTATATTTTGTAGAATTTTAATATATTTTACTTATTTTGAACATTGCATTGTTAGTCATTGTTTGTTATGAATAAGCTGCTTAGAACCATACGACCAGTAAGTCAGATATAAATAAGCTAAAGATAAAATTCTCAGATTTTAACGGTATCCACGGGCCAAAAACATTATATTAGAAAAACAGTTTAATTATAATGCCCTCTGCAAATTGTTACACATAGGAAAAGACTGTGCTAGTAATTGGATAAAAACTATTCATATTCACAACGACAGCTAAAGCTTGTTTACTTTATCGATCCAAAAATGACAAAAATAAAATAACTAATTGAACCTGGTGGCCTAGAAATTCAGATGAGAAAAACCCAGGCAGGTCGCCAAGCAAACTTCAAGAGTTTAGCTCATTAGCTCGATGGCTTCCAAAGCCCTCATGTGTCCCATCAATCTTGGCTCAAAGCCAACAGTGCACCAATTACAACAATTACAACCGGGCTAAAAGACATCGAGAATCTTGGCTAAGGAGCTGCTCGCATTTCAAGCCAGCTCGCAGCCCGTTAATTAACAAAGCAACAATAATCACAACAGAGCGCGGCGGGGAAGCGCAAATTAAATGAAATTTAATCAAAAACGTAAATCTAGCTAAGTTACTGCCCGACGGGAGTGGCGTCGACTGTCTGCCAGCCGGAATGACACAATACCCAAACACAAGAAGTCGCGAAGGGGATGAACTGAAGAACTGGAAAGCCGGAGGACCAGACGCAAAGGCGCCAAGGAATGCGGACCCTTGAGCTGTCCACCCGTGCACGGGGTCACGAGTTGGGGACTGGGACTAAGGGTGGTACTAGTGTTGACGACTCGTGTCTTTGCACTACTTTCTAGCTTTATTTAGATTTTAAAATCTCCAAAAATAGTTATTTTACATTTGAGAGTGATAACTCTTAACATATTTTAACTTAAACATCTGAGCATTAATATTTTTTATTAAATCTTTAAATATGATGATATTGGGGCTGCCACAGGAATAATATTAGCTTAACATTAAAGCTTTATGAATAATATAATTTAATATAATTACCTGGACTGTATTTACTGGTCCGTTTCAAAATAGATACAATAACAAATTATATCTGATAAAGTTCAAAATTTAACATATTTTTTCTTGCACTTCCGCAAGACCATAAATACCTGCATGAGCATCAGTTTTCAAAAATATATTGCATAAAGTTGATTAAAAATAGAGACATCCAAACCCCTTTTAACTAACTTGATATCAGAGGAGGAAAAGCTGTGCCTTTGACGTTCCATAGGAAAGTTGATTAGGTAACTTTAAAATTCTGATAACCAAGTTCGGCCAGTAAACAGCTAGACAGGCAACACTAAATTTTTGCTGTTTGTTACTTTAAAATGTCCTTGTCTAGGCGGCCTTTGACTTTTGTTTGCGCCCGAAACGCTGCGACGTAAATTTAATTATAACGTTTACTTACTGTCTTGCTGTGGGCCGCACACTTTCTTTCCATCTCTCTTTCTGCTCATTAGTGTCCGGAGTGGGAAAACTGTGGCCACCTGCCTGTGGTGGAAAATTGCCAGCTGATTTGCCTTTTGACGCCTCTGTGCTTAAAAAGATCTGAAAATCAACTGCTCGGCGATTGATTTATGGCTCTGTCGTAAAAGAAATCTCTCAACGTAATCAACCATAAGTGCAGTGAGGAAGAATATTGCCGACATTTGTCTTCCAGTTTTTTTTTTGGTTGTCTATACTCTTCTAAAAGGTATTATAAATTAGCTAACATTTTATGAAGGTGTCATCAACAAGAAATGTGTGAAGTTTTTGTGTAAGGCCTGAAGCTCACTAACATGCCAGCTAACTAAGTCTCTTAAGGGGGTATATACCTTTTTTTGTCGAAAAAAATAGGAAAGTTTGGATTTTTTTATGTATGTAACTATTGTTTTTATTAAATGAATGATTATATTTTCTGAAAGTTTAGATTGTTGACAATGTTTATGGAAAAATTTTTGAAAAAATATTTAATAGTTTTTAAGGTGTGGCTGTTTCCCCTAAAACGCCTTTTTTTAAAGAGCCTTGCGGTGATAATTCCCCAGGACGAATGGGTCAACTGATACCGAAAAAATAAAAATATTTCATTAGTTTAAAGTAATATCCTGTACTTGAACGAACGTTTTAAAAAAATTTTTTTTTTTGTGCATACGGGAACGTTAAATGCAAAAAATGACGTTTTTGGACGCAAAAATTCTTACAAAACTATTTATTTCGGCGAAATAAAAATTTTTACATGAAAAAACGATCGTTCAAGTACTAATAAAATTCATTACGAACATTTAAAAAAAAATTTGAAGAAAATCGGTTCAGTAGTTTTTCGCCAATCCATATCACCACAAAGTCATTTTTAAAAAAACCATTTCGAGATATTCGCGTTTAAAGTTTCAAGTTTGGGTTTGGGCGGGGACGAGGCGCGCGGCTAGGAGCGCTGTAACTTTTTTTCTACAGCTCAAATCTCTATGAAAATTTTGGGAAATATTCTCAAGAAGTTGTTCTTTAAGATAAAGCAAAAAAAAAAATTTCGATTTTTTGAAAATGAAAAAGGTATATACCCCCTTAAGACAACATTTACAAAAACAAAGGAGAACTAAATATTAAATTAATGGTTCAACAAATATTCTTTACTCCCACTGTTTAACATCTTAACCTTTTTTTTAGATTTACTACGTCTGATTTAGGCGATGCAAAATGATCTCAAAGATTTCGTAAATTACTCATACATCACTTGATATCTGTTTGATAGTTAAGTATGTATAATCCTTTTTTGTTTGCTTTGCTTAAGGTAAGGACATTCCGAAACCTTTTTATTTAATATAGTTGCCGAACCAGTTTAAAATTCTCTCTGATCAAAACCAATATTTCCTGCCATAAAAGAAATCGTATTAAATTTTATTTCATTTCGATGATTTTAAAATCCTTTGGGTACATCTGTCTTTCTCGTCTAAGTCAACTTCACTCAAGCATGTAATTACAATTTATTAAAAATTGAGTGAATAATATGGTACGACTTTGGCATGTCAAAGTAAGCTTTCTTTCTAAATTTAAGATGATTTTGTCGATACGGTCTTGTTTTTATCAGGTTTAACACAAGAACAATTCCGTAGTTCATGTGACAGATTATATTGCTCTCTAAAAATTATTAACGTAATTGGAATGGTGTTTCGCAACTAAACTATGGAAATAATTTCTCTGGGTGTCCGAGTTGTTGGATTTGCTGTACTAATTGAGCAGCAATTATATACTGACAACTCTCGCCGCAACCGCAGTAAATGCATCATTATGTTGAAGTGTAACTGCTACGGTGTACGGCCATTGTGGGAGGAGCTTTGTCCTTTGAGTATCAACTGTGACAACAGTTTCAGCAACATTTAATAAATGTGAAAAATTCAGTTCGCAAGTAGACGGGTGAATAAATGAATCCCATTACTAATGCCGCAGTGAGCTCGGGCAAATAATGCGACTTCTGTGGGCAGTAAAGATTGCTGAAGCCGCAAGAGTGGTCAGCTAAGACCTAAATAAATAAGATAAGGCGAAGGAAAAGTATATATTCAGCTACAGTTGAACTTGCTCAACTTTTCTGAGACTCGAAATAAAGTGGTCGAATTAATGACTGAACTTTGGGCAAATTTGGCTTCGTAAAACGAACTTCGAAATTCAATTTTTTGCAACTCAAAGACACATTTTGACTAAACCAAATCCAGTTTTCGGTGTTCGGAAGTGTCAATAAAAATAATTAAACTTTAACAACTTTTTTTTTAAAGATCCAAAATTATTTAACTAATTGGTCGGTGTATTTTCGACTAATTGTTCGTTCATAATCCAAGCCAATCCAAAGTCAATAGAATTGTGTAGCTATCCTTTTGGGATGGAACAAAAGCGATAAATGACATGATAATGATCATTAATACCCACTAACACTTTGTAGTCGACAGATTTCCGAATCCAAATAGAGTTTTAGTGCATTTCCATATTTATGTCATACTTCTGCCAGTTGTGAGCCACTATTGAATGCCATAAACTCTTTTCCGCTTTCATATTTGCTTTTCATACGCGTGTCAAATTAATGCGAATCGAAAACACAACTCAACCGACCGTGTGGACACATGTTTGTTTGCTCGCCTGTTTGTTTGGGGAAATATGCTGATGAAAAACAAACACTCGACCGATTGGCAAATGGCAATCCCGCCAGAAGCGATTTCCGGCTGACAACTTCGCCGAATGGAACAACGGACATCCGCTGGGGCTGCGAACGGTGCACGCCTACGTCCTGGTCTACGACATGGGCAATTTGGAAACATTTCAGGTGGGTGCCGTCCAATTACCCGCTCAATCTGGAGCTAAACAATTGCCTAATGTCCCGATCCATCCGCCATTTAATTTCATTCCAGTACTGCCGCTCGATGAGAGATCAAATCTTGGACAGTTTCAGTCATCGTGATTTTAGCATAATTGTGGTCGGCAATAAGTTTGACAATGTGACTGAGGCGCAGGCCAACTCGCAGGTGAGTGCTTTTAATTCGCTTATGTGCCAAGAAATTATTAATGTGCTAAGCTTGTTAAAGTATAAACCCAAAACTGTAACTGTGAATAGTACGACTCTGAGTCTATTAAATTGCAATTGAATGCACAAATAGTTTGTGATGTACAATAAAGATCATTTCTAATTGATATCCTGTCAAAAAAAATGTTTAAGGCTCACAAAGTATTTTCAAATTAGTTATACATATATATTGTATATATATCTATAGAGATAAATAAGTCCGATTTAAGGTGATTTTATATCTTATTATGGATTTCGGTAGCTTTTAAGCTGAGAGAGTAAATCGCATAAATTTTATACATATCCATATCGACCATACCGATGGACGCTGATTGAGATTGCAATGCAAAAAAGTGTTGGATATGAACATGGCATTAATACCCTTTGCGAGGGCATCCAAACAATAGACCAGTTAAGCCCAAAACGCTAGGAGCTCGGCTATTCACAGAGCGCAGTTATTAGTTTTCAGCGTTTTAGTACTCAATATTGAATCCTTTCCATTATCGCACATCCCCACATCCTGGTGGCGGCCTGGCAGGAGCTCAAGGATATTTCCACGCTGGTGCGCAAACATTGGCGCTGCGGCTACGTCGAGTGCTCGGCGCAGTGAGTAATCGATATAAGCATCTGTGGAGCGATATGTGTGCCCGGGGACTAACTTGGGTTTTTTTTGGGATCTTCGGCAGGTATAACTACAAAATCGGCGACGTATTCCGTGAACTAATGGGCTGCACCAGCACGGGAGGAGGCGGCGGCGCCGGAGGAGGCGTGTCCGGGGTCGGTGGCCTGGTTGGCACTGAGTACTCACAATCAACTAGGAATAAAGGACGCTGTACAATACTTTAGCAAATGTTGCATAAGTTTTTTAAGCAAACGCTCTGATCTGGCGCATTATATCCGAGTGAATTCGTTACCAGCAGCAGATGCTGCAGCTGGGGCAAGGTGGCGTATATGCAATCTCCGAGGAGGATACACAAAGACGACATTGTTGCCCCTTGCCAACGATGGCAAATGCATATTTTAACATATATTTTTAGTGGCCACATTCCGCTTTCCCGATTCCCCACCACCTCCTTTTGTTTGCCATTATTACAACATTTTTCTGGCTGCTTTTATGGGTGCTTTTTGCTGTGCTCATTTAAATGGCCGAACGGAGGATACATTTGGCCAGCAACAGCAACGCACCCAGAGATTCTGATCCTTGCTGACAACTTTTGTGCGTCCGCATTTGCAATTCAATGGCAGTAGCTGGCAGGAAGTGCAGTTGCCATGAATATGCAGCGATATCCGCAAGCTGCAGCAACAATTGCCGGCGAAAAGTTTGATTTCTTTACGGTTATTATTATCACTGTGGTTATTATTTCAGTCGTGAAACGTAAATAGGCAATTAATCCCACCATAATTTACAATACATTTTATGTACGAACGAATAACCTTGTTATCGAAACAAACCAAGTCGTATAAGTACTTAAGTAGTTAACCTAAGCTATACACATATATTTAAACATACTTTAACGTTGTGATCATTTCAAGAATTAGTTCTTAAGGCCCACAAACAAAACGTCAGTAAATGTCAAGTAAAGCCAAGTCTCCGAAACTGAATTACAAGAAATACTTTTAGGACTAGGTACGAATAAGAGCAATTTAATAAATAGCCTTAAGTGTTTGGAAAAGCGACCGAAGGCGGTGAAATCAAATAGTTACAATCATGCTATCAAAATCCTCATAAAGTTTGAATACACATCAAATCAATTCAATAGAATTTTAACAACACCATGATTTTGTTCATTGAAATTCAAAGATTAAAAAATGAAATCATTTTGGTCGTGAGGGAGCCGTGATCAAGACGCCTTAAGAACCCAGAAGCAAATATTTCATAGTAAACCTTAGACTTAATTAAGATTACAACTTGATTGAAGCGCACAAAAACTACGATTGTGTTATTATGGCATACTCCATAATGTTAGACCCCAGGGTAAAGGTCAAAAATAAAGTTTGTGTATCGTAGTGTAGAGATGACAAACTGATCCAGCCGATCTATTAGTTAGGTAATGTGTCACTCTACTGATATATCTACTGGTCATCGCCATATTCAGTGCTAGTCCCCGAAACACATACATACCATACCGATCTCTTTCTTTACCTCAACAACAAATAACTCAAACTACTCAAAAGAAAAGCAATCAAGGCTGACTTTGTACATAGAGATTTCAAAGGAAGAACTTTGCGAAAAGCTATGGAAACCGACTTTTACAGCAATATAAGTAAGCTCTAACTGATATTCAAGGTATATAACTGGGCGCACTGCCAAAAATTGGTTCCACTCCCAGTTGAGTGTTCGGCTAAGATTCTAGAAATAGCTAAGATAACAAATAATGAATTCAAATACATTTTTTGAAATTATTTCAAGGTTAACCAATGCAAAATCGATAATAATGCAAACACAAATAAACCATTATTGTTATGAATAATATTAATTAATTATATATTTGGCGGCTTTGATAAAGGACATATACCATAAAAAGATAAATAATAATAAATAAATAGCAGCTTAAATTGCTTACTTGTTAAACTGATTCAAACCGGGAATTTTCCAGCATTCGCATCCATCACCGAACTGATCCCAACTTAAGAAATGTGTTCATAACATGTCACTTTCTAAACTGAAACAACCCATTAAAGCCCTAAATCGACATATTTATATGAAACATACCTATATATACACATATATAAATGTAACGATAATTGTACGAGTTTGGTTCAAGTTTTAGTCTTTGATTTCCAACATTTAAGGATTCGTCAAAATGGCTGTTAATTTTTGGAAAATAAAAATGCTAACGCAAAACAGTTGAAGGGTATTAAACGAACATAAAATAAAAGCAACAAGGACAATTGTTGAATTATGTATTTACATTTAAGCAACGCGTTGCCTGCGACAGATTAAAGCAAGATGAGAAATTAGGTGTAGCAACTTAACATTTAAAGTCTACAAATTAAATATGTATTAACGAATCAAATGCTTCAGCCGCTTGTTGTTTGTTCAAACCATTCAAACGTAATAAATTTAAGTGAAGGCCGCTACGTTTAGATAAGTATTACCGATGCGCAAAGGCGTTCATGATCTCTGTTATTTTTTTTGTAATAAAAGGCATGACGCAAATGCAAAGTAGAGACAAGTTGTTAATTGGACAGGAGCTAACCACAGAGTAGCAAGAAAAACGCACCGAAACTAAACGTTAAGCAATTGAATATATAATGTCTGCCGGAAACGGAAGCAAACAAATTGTACTTAGTGTAGTATGCACTGCGGGCATGAATATTATGGCGAATATTCGACGACAAACCGTTAGCAAAGTAGAGAACGTTTTTGAAAAATGCGCAACAGACGTAAATAAAAACAAAATAAAGTGATATATAAAAGTAAAATAAGTTGTAAATTTAATTATTTCGTTAAGGATACAAATGGGTAAAACATTTCAAGACATCCAAAAAAGCAAAGGAAAACAGGTTTGTAAAATGATCTAATCGCTTTTTACTATACGAAATGATTTACTTCAAAATACATTTTCTTTATTAACTTACTTATTTTCCTTAAGACTAATTTTTTGGCACTGCTTATTTGAGAGAGACAGACCTCGAAACAAGAAAGTTTGCCTCGTGGTTGTAAATGTATATTTATAAAAAAACAAGAGATTTCTTGATAATCTTTTCAGTGATACCGGAAAATAACAACAGCTCAAAAAATAAGATACATTGATTCGACGATATTTCACAATACGTCCCAACTTTAGGAGAATGGTGCCGATTCTGTTTGAGGTTTAGATATCAATTATGTTATTTGTTTAGGATGCGCTTTCAAAAATTTTGTATAAACATATAAACAATCTCAGCGTCCTTACCCAATTTAATTGCTTCAGACGTGACTTGGCGTAATAATGAAAATATTTCAAGGCATTTAAAGCAATTAGTCACATCCGTTATCTCTGTTAGCAATTAGAAAACATTTCCATTTCTATTTTTACATTTTTATTTTATCTCTTATCGCCTACGACTAAAACAAACTCTCCTATTGGTTGGGCCACATAGGTAGAAACAAACTAAGACAAACAATTTTGCATCGTAGGTCAACTTAATCTTACGACTGTTTTTGGAGTACATCTCTATGTATATTTATGTATAATTCCTTATGTTAAGTCTTAAAAACAAAAGGACATTTTGTTGGTAATTTGCGACACGCAAGAGTTTAAAAGGTGAACGTAATACAAAACTTATCAAATCTAGAGTTACCCATTAAATGAATCTTCGACTTGTCCGGGTCGAGGTCAGCGAATGAGGCATAGCCAGGTGAGGGATAACTTACAAGCGAAATGCTAACTGATGACTGAACTTGGCGCTGACAAAATGGGCCTCCAAGCCCGTGGCATATGTGGTCTGGTCTATCACTGATGCGGCTCGCTAGAGCTGCTAAAGGTGCGGCTGCGACTCAGGCGTCTGGCACGCTCCTCAAGTGCCGCCTGCTCGCTGCGTCCGTCGGACAGGTGGGGGGGTAGTTGCAGGATGTTATGGAGCTGGCTTTTCAACTGTTTGGTCTGCGGGCGCTGCTCTGGATGGGCGGAAAGCATCTGCTGAAGTAAATCGTACTCCTTCGGGTAATTGACACTGAAATCCTTGGGGTACTGGCCATCCCGAAGATTACGCAACGTCTTGATCCGCTCCATTTCGGTGCTGAAGTACACATGCAGTTCAAAGAAGATTAGGCCCAGCGAGTAAATGTCCACCTTGTAATCGTAGTGATGCCCAAGAAGCTGCTCCGGCGACATGTACAGGTGGGTTCCCACCTGCTGGGTGTGGCGGGCACAAGAGGGCAGACCACTCTGATCCCCGCACTTGGCCACGAGGTTGGGTATATCCGCCATGTCTGTAACCAATCCGAAGTCTCCTATCTTGATCTGCCCATCCTGGGAAAAAAATATGTTGCTCGGTTTGAGGTCCCGATGAATCAGGCCCTTCAGGTGCACATAGTCTACGGCATCCACAATCTGGTGGAAGATGTCAGCAGTGTGAGCAGATCTGGCCTCCGAGCGATTGTCTCTAAGCCAGTCGCGCAGACTCTCTTTGCGGCACAGCTGCATCTGAATGTAGAGGTACACTTTGCTGGGCTTGGCCACTGCTCCGTTTTGAATCGTAGCACTCGGGGGCGTCGGATGGCTCCCGTTGTTGTTGTGGTTCTGGGCTAGAGCCAGGGTGAGGGGCTTCCTTCGAACTTTATTATCGTCCTCTAACTCTTCACTGCCATTGCTCTTGGGGCGTACAGATTCGATTTGAAAGGAGTTGGACACCAGCTGGTGCTGTGAGTAGTTAATGTTCTTTAGGTCGAATGAGGCCGAATGGATGTCGATGGACACGGAGCTGCGATGGTGCCTCTTCTTGACGTCCTGGACCTCTTCTTCTTCGTCATCATCATCGTCATAATCATCCTGCCCCTCCCTCAAAGCTGCCGACTGGGACTCGCTGCGAAACTCAATGAGCGAATCCTCCTCCTCATCGTCGTCATACTCCTCCCTGATGTTCCTAAGTGACGACTCGCTGTGCCCGGGAAAGTCATGGCTGCAGGCCGTACTATTAGCTGCATCGGAGACCCATGACAAGAGCTGCTGGTGGCGTTTCTCCTGCAATTGTTCCGCCAATGAGGGCATTGTACTCTCGTCGGGCGTCTCTATCTGAATGGAGGTGGACAGCTCGTGGGCTAGCAGCTTGCGATCCTCTTCTTCCTGCCAACCAGTTGGCGGAGTTTCGGTCCAGGACTGTTAGGTAAACAAGAAAAACACATTATAAACATTGAAACAAAAATCGTATTCTAACACAAAAACTCTTGCTTAATCAGCAATAATTTAAATGAAAATACTTAAAAAAAAACAAGAGAGAACGCTATAGTCGGGTGCCCCGACTATCAGATACCCGTTACTCAGGTGAAGGGAGTGCGAGGGAGATGGAGCTAGAAACTTTGATCACGCATAACTTTTTAACGAATGGTCCGATTTGAAAAATTTCTTCTACATTTCGATAGGTATTGAGAAACACAATAAAACTGCATTTTTACTTTTCCGAAATATTTAAATTTTTAAAATCGTATATAAGCGATTGTGGGCGTTAAAGGGGGCGTGGCGCAATTTTGAAACAAACTTGCGCTGCGTAGGAACTCCTAGAATCTGCTTGCAAAATGCCAATCTTCTAGCTTTTATAGTTTCCGAGATCTCAGCGTTCATACGGACAGACAGACGGACAGACGGACATGGCTATATCGACTCGGCAAGTGACCCTGATCAAGAATATATATACTTTATAGGGTCGGAAACGCTTCCTTCTAGCTGTTACATACTTTTGCACGAATACAATATACCCTTTTACTCTACGAGTAACGGGTATAAAAACTATAAATGATACTATTTCAAACAAATTTAGGTACTTACATGGAAGTAGCGTACGATGTTGTGGTGCTCGCAACTGGCCAATGTTCGAGCTTCGCGCAAAACTCGCTGTCTTGAGGAATCTTTATTGGGCAACGTTATGCGCTTGATGGCGTACCGGTTCTCATCTAGCTTGTTCTTGGCCTCAAATACCACCCCAAAGCCGCCTCGTCCGAGGCACTGCATCAGCTCGAAGTCCGACTGGAAGCGCGATGTGTAATGCTCGCCTGAATGCGTTGTGGACTCCGAAATAGAGCGCTGGTTTCCACCGCCGGGTGGGAAACTAAAACGGTTTCCAGGGCGCTGTATAGGCACTACAGGACCTAGGAGAGCCTGAGTGGATGCTTCGGTGGCCTCGATGGCCGTCTGTACTGGAACATGGCGTTCAATAACCAGATACTCCCGCTCCACTCGTTGGGTTCGCTGTCCCATGAAGATATTGAGGATTACTGCCGAGGTGAATGCGATGACTACGATTTCCTTCCACCAAAACCACAGCGACAGAATTACCACCTTCACGGGCGCATCGATGTCGTCCAGACTAAAGCCCAGATCGCTGTTGATGCTATTGTTGCTGGAGCTTATCGTTCCCTCAGATGTGGCATTGCTAGGAGGCGTTGGAGCTTCAATCGCGGATACGCCACTAGGAGTGCTTTGGGTGCCGCACTCCGACGGACCCTCCAGTTCACCGGTGGCATAGAAGTAAAAACCATTACCATTCACAAATTCCGAGGCATTCAATACGGACTGCGCTGCCACAGCGAAATTCTGATCATCATAGGGCACCATTTCTCCTCCTTGGGATCCCGTTCCCTCACCAATTAACTCAGGCTCCACTTTACCTTTTTGGAAGATGACCAGTGAGTTGCTGCTGGCGGCTATAGGCTTCCAAGGAATCTTGGGCATCAGGCTGGTGTCGCCCGTGAGCTGCTGGTAGACCCTCGTCTGGTCCATGATCTCCTGGCGTAGACGTATAGACTCTTGGATATACAACTGTTTATCGTACATGCCCAAGTAGATTGACGGGGGGCTTTGTGGGGTATTCGGAACCTCATTGTCCTCCTGCTCCTGGTCCCACAGCCATTGTGCCGAGCTAAACAGATCAATAGGCTTCAGTTCGTCTGCGGCATTTGTGTTCCAGGCACTCACAATTGGGTGATCAAACTAGGAAAAAAACAACTTTACGTATTAATAACTATAAATATATTTAAATTCATGGTACTCACCTTGTACTTCCATAGCACAGTCTGTGGGTCACTCTTGCTGAAGGCGCATATAATGCCCTCGGGCACTACCACCTTAATGTCTACATCCAGGACGGCCAGTTCCAACTCATCGCGCGGCTGCTGTTGGCATTCGGAATGTCGAACCAAATCCAGTTCATGCTGACCCACGCTAAAGTTCCACCGCTCCATACCGGTGCGGGATTCGACAGCCCGCACCGTTTGCGTCTGGCGGCGCACCACAATTACGTCGTCGAGGAGCGGATCATGGCCCACAACGTAACCGTCTTCGTCCCTGAGCTGGTCACCGTCCTCCTGCTGATCTTCCTCTTCGGTCTCTCTAATAGTGTCATCAATGGCCAGTCCATCCTCCGTGGAGTTTACACAACCGCTTAAAGAGCATTCATACAATAGTTGTCCTGTCCGAACGGAAACTCCGTAGGAACGAGTTTCCTTGCCACCGGAAATCACCAGATCGTCGCTGAACTTGGCACTCGAGCTGAGCAGGTGCTCCGCAGTGATCGGAATGGGATCGATGGAGTCACCGTCAAACTTGTATATGCCTCCGCTCAGCGAGGGAATCATGCGCACGAACTGTCCATTGTTGGTCAGCTCGAGGCGGTGGATGCTGGACGAGATAAGCGGCCCGGGTCCGGTGGGCACACTCCAGCGCAATTTGCCGGACTTGGCTACGTCCAGTGCGCTCAGTCGCCCGTCCAGTGTGGTTATGTAAAGGAGTCTGCGGAAAAGTGAAAAATGGTATAATAATTTATAATAATTATTACCAACTGAAGAAAACAAGCCCTGACCATCTTTTGCATGACAAGTTTCGGTGTTTCATTTAGCCTAAAAACATAAGATAGGTTTTTATATTGTTATAGTACTTAACATTTTTTCGCTTTTCTCATTATCGATTAAATTTTTGTTACATAGCCATTAATTACCAACATTTTAGGTGTTTTTTTTTTTTAGTTAATATTCATGTTTGTTCTTTAGTATGTATGTACATATATTTGAAATATTATTTGAATCGTTTTTTGTAATTTCTGGGACCAACGCTCTTCAGATTTCGCAATCGAAAATAATTGGAAGTAAAAGAAAATTTACATAAATGTATTCATAAAATCATAAACTATTGTCCCTGAATTTGATCAGTGTTTGCGACGAATTTCGTCACCTGGTGCAAGGATATAGCCAATCGGGTATAAGGGTCACACTGGTCATCCCAGCTGACTTGTACAAGGGGGTGAAAGGAAGACACACTCAGCTGTTTCCGCGCCAAAAGAATATTATAGAGGCAACAAGTGTCAGTTGGCCCCATTTATCGCCATCTCTGTCCCGCCCACTGAAGACCCAAAAATGGAGCCCTCCAAACAAGAGAATAAAGAAAACGGAGGGAGAATGGTGAAATTCGACGAAAACCTTAAGCAAACGCAAAAAATGAAAACAAGCAGCGGAACCAGTTAGGATTGGCGTGCATAAATAAACTGTCTCTCGCAAACAAAATAAAACAGTTAACAGTTTTGCAAATGACTCACCGCATGCTTGATAAGCGCGTCCACTGATTATGGGGCTTTAAAGTTGGCTAAGGGTCGAACCAAGTGGGATCATATTATCAGATTTGTCGGCAACTTCGAGTTAAGCAGGAAAGTGTTCAGTAGCTCTTTAAATGCCCCATTTTAGCTGGGTAAATAAATAGTGAAAATTTAACAGGGTATCTAACTAAATGGGTTCATATTATCAGATTCGTCGGGAATTTTGTGTTGAGCACGAACTGGCCCCAATAATAACACTGTTCTCTTTAAATTCCACGTTTTAGCTGGATAAATAGACACTTTTCAAATAGTTTAATCAAATATTTACAACGTATTGTTTTTAATATTTGCCTAGCTGCTATCTATACAACACTTGCACTGCGTTATGGCGAATGTTCGAGAACCTATAAAACCTGCAAGCAAAAGGGTCACACACATAACGCACTGTGCTGCTTCTTCTTTATCCATTTAGTAAATGTAAGTATTCCTTCCGATGCTACCTACCTCCGTCCAATTCGGCGTTCCTCCTGATCCACGCAGTGCGCGATAGCAGGGCGATTGCGTGATTCCGTTGCCTGGAGATCTGAATTCGCGTTTAAATTCGCCGCTCTCACTTGGACGGGGTCTAGGGCTGCCAAGCCCGCCATGGTGAGCGCTATTAGCTGCAGGAGGCTCAGGTTCCGGCGACGCTGCCTAACGATGCCATCCAGGTCGTCCTGCATGCCCATTGTTCGCGCATATACACGTAATCCTTATCTAGGGCCGATCGGGGGCACGGGGAACGGGACTGCAAGTCTTTAATTGGCTCGAACGGTGACGTGTTGACGCGACTTTTGGGGGTCGGTGGGTGGAACAGCGGCGGCAGTGGCTGTCGGCAAGGTCGGCGCACATCTCCGCATTACTCTCGTACGCGCCCGCAGCAAGCAATAGCAATTTGACTATGCAGTTGCACTAATATCGGCCAATTTCTGGTTGTTTTTCTTTCGATCCGATTGGGCCGCAACACGCTGCTGATGTGCAGTGTGACCGTTCTTTGAGTGCCATTAAATAACAGTGATGACACCATATCTACCATTATTTCGTCATTGAAAACAATACCAAAAAATACCGTTTTCTAAGGTGGTCGATTCAGGTACAGTAAGCATTGGTCGAAGAGGTTTGGGCAACTATGTAGCCATGCTGCAATATAAACTACTTGAAAGTTTTAATTCATTTTATATTATTCCCATATTTATAAATATAAGGTAAATTAAAATATATTCTAATGGAAGGTATATCTACGCTACTCCTTTTCTCGTTAAGTGGGTTTTATTTTTGGACTTTAAAAAATAAAAATCTTGGATAACAACTTTTTAATTAAAATTTGAAATTCTAATTATTTTTTGGCTGCAAAGATCAACTGGGACGATAAAACTCGTGTCCTCCCGAACAGAAAGATACACTGAACAATTTTACGAGGACATAGCTTTGTTGGATTCCCCTCCACCTAATACATTTCAATCGATCCCTTCGAGTGTTTAAAAAAATTTGATTAGCTCATTTAAAAGCAGATTGGTAAAAACTGATATAGATTTTAAGCTGAAGAAATAAATTGCTCAGAAAAAACATGTCTGGTAAATAATTAAGATCGTAATCGTATCCTTTACAAATTATTAAGGCTATAAATAGTCCTTGTAACTATTTTCATTATAATTCCAAAAAAATCGATGATCGAAAAGTTTTAATCTCCCATTATACATTTTCATAGTCTTTCGCCATTCATGTAAAACCAAATTGTGTTGTAATTAAATTTAAATTGTTTCATTTAATATAAAACGGATTTTTTTTTCTCCTGCAGGTCAGTAACTTAAGTTAGGTATTAACTTAAATCCTTGATGGGTACAGCATCTACAAAAAGATGAAAAGCACGTTAAGAGGTTTGAAATGTCGGCGAAATATAATGCAACTTACGATACGGATGCGGTGACCCATGGCATGACCAGGCAGGTTCCTGTTGAAGCGGGCACGCACGGCGCCGGTGTTGCCGTGGATGCGGGTGACCTTGCCCCAGACGGCGCGGACACGGGTCTTGCGCTCGGGATGCTGTGGCACGCACTTCTTGGTCTTGGCCTTGTAGACATAGACGCAACGCTTGCCAATGTAGAAGGATCCATGCTCCTTGCGGCGGGCGCCCTCAATCTATAATGGAAAAGTGTATTAGTAACGAATAATATATAGATCACGTATTGACGTCACAGAAATCTATTTGTTTTCATTTTTCATTATGAAGTAAACTTTACAATTATAAATAATTTATTTTCGCGTGAAAAATGGCAACTATCATTCAACAGCCAATCTCGGAACGTCAACAAAACTTCTGTGACAACTTATAAAAGAGTTGCCGGAATAGTCCCTACCTTGAGGATAGCCTGGTTCTCGTGCTGGTTCCTCAGACCGCGCTTGTAGCCGGTGAAGACGGCCTTGGCGAAGAGCCGTCCGTGACGCTTGTACTTCTTGGCGGAAACCTTGGCCTCGGTGGCGGCGGGCTTCTCCGCCTTGGGTGCCTTGGCGGCCTTAGGAGCCTTAGCGGCCTTGGGCGCAGCAGCGGACTTGGCTTGTGTGTCGGCCATGGCTTACCTGCAATTGGAAGAGGGATGATTAATCAGGGGACACTTACATCAATAACAACAAGTTGTTTCGGAATAAAAAGGTTTTGTTGTTTTTTTCTTGCTTAAAAAAAACTTTTTAAAAACACCAGAAGTTTCATTTAAATACCGGTTCTGAGAACTTGCCACTTTTTTTTGGCACGAAAGGAATTTGGTAAGATATTTTCAATATCGCGGTGAGCACAAACATTTAATAGATGATTTTAAGAAAATCCCGCTTAAAATGCTTAACCGGCCTGAGGCAACATTCTATGGCTAAGATCGAATTTAAAAATCGTTTAACAAATTCTTAATAAAAACACGACTAGAGGCAAACTTTGCTGTTTTGGAAATGTCCAATTATGCACTACGTGAACAGCGGCTTTTGGCCGATGTATAAATTGCCATCACATATATTGCAGCTATATGTCACTATCAGAGTTAATGGATCCTGAAGGAGCCACACGGACACAAACAATCACAAATTAATTCCGCCAGCTGAATTTTGCGCACGTGGGCTGGGACGTTTGCAGGTTATTCAGATTACTCGCCGGATTCCAAATTCGATGAACTACTTTTCTTTGCCTGCGGAAACCCACCTTGTTGTTCGATGAATGTATTAACACCGCTAAAATAAAAAATTATATATTATTAAAAGGAAAAACGTTGAGAAATTTATTTTACTTACTTCGCCGGAAACGAAAGCGAAAAGAAGGAAATAGTGTGGCTGCTGCAAGACGCTACAAAAACGCGTTCTGTTAGCGATACTTGTGTGCCGTTATTCAACAGCGTGCTGTTAGGAGTAAAATATAATAATCAGTTGGCAACGCGATAAATAGATTGCCAACTTGTATTTCAGAAAATCTGTTCACTGCAACGAGGCCAATTTAATGTATTTAAAAATGTTAAAGCCAAGTAATCAGATCGGCGAAGTCCGTTTGTCAGCAATTAGAGAGAACGAGATGCAAATATGATTAAAAGATGTAATCTTTTGAAGTGTCTGTTGTCAGAGCAGAATGTTACCTAGATCAAAAATAGGCGGGAAACGCCAACAAACACGCCATTATTGATTGCTTAGCGTTTTTTGGGTGGCTGTGTGGGAACACGATTTTTACACATTTCAAAAATTACTACCGGTCCGCTTAGAGAAGATCTCTGGGATATGGCTATAAGTAATTGAATTGAAAATTCAATAGAAATTCTTAGCACTTGATGGAAAGACCCATAATTCGTAACTCAATTTGGACAAAATTATCGAGTTTAGAAATCGATAGGAAACTGGAGGCAGTGTGGGAGTACCTTAATTAAAAATTCACTTCAACCGATTATCCCATAAAAAAATGTCCCTGGAAATCATCTGTAGTCGAATGTTGTTATCGGCGACTCGGCGCAATCGCGTAGTGTTTTTTTTTTCAGTGCCGAAAACAATATCAAAATTTTCATAACAATGTTGAGATTTTAGAGACTGCTACAAAATTGTGAAGCACATGTACAGCCCTGAAGCAAAGCAAACGTGAGAACCGATCGCCAGAAAAAGCTGCAGATCGTTGCATAAATAGCGCAGCTCCCCCGCCGAAATCGAAGAGGTGTTCCCCGCGATTCCGAGCGAACTTTGGATGCGCTGCGATGGGCTTGCTGGTGCAAGTGTTCAAGTGGGATCAGCGATGGCGCGTGCTGCACCGCGTAGACATCCTGCTGCGGCGGGGCATTAAGAAGCAGGCGGTGTACCCGACCAAGTGAGAAAAGACCCAGGTCCTGAATCATCCTGAATATTGCATAACACATATTATTTACAGACTCGCTGAAGTGGGCCGACTAATTGATGCTCGTGACGACCGTTATGAGACTGGCCAGCTCTTTCTGCACCGCATATTCGGCTACCGCGGCGTTATCCTATTCCCCTGGACAGCCCGTGTCTATGACCGGGATCTGCACAATCCCAGCAAAATAAGTGCCACTTCGACGACAACTGCTAGTCCGACGCAGCAGCAACGCACCAAAGAGTCTTCGCTCCGGGTGAAGGCAAACACCTCCTCTCCGCCGACGGCCGCAACAGTCCAGAGCGGCGAAACCCCCACATCGGCCGCCTTCCAAACGGACGCGCCCGGAGAGGCGGAAAGCACCACCAATGTGGGCACCGCCACTCAGGTGGATCCCAAGGAGGTCAAGGGCAAGGTGCAAACCTTCTACCAGGTGCTTATCGACACCCGGGACTGTCCACATATTGTAAGTAGGCCATTGTCTCGCTTCATTAATTTACTTAGTGGCTTTGTTTTTCTTTGCAGCGCGCCCAGACGGAGGCAGTAACCTTCCTAGGCAACCAGGACTCCAACCGCAGCTTGTACGCCATCCCCGGCCTAGATTATGTGGCCCACGAGGACATTATGCCCTACAGCTCCAGCGAGAAGAGTCCGCTGCAGCACGAGCTGTTCGATAAGTTCCTCACGCACGCTCCGGAAGCTGATCCGCCTTTCGTAGGCCAGGAGACTCTGAAGGCGTGGCAGGAAAAGAACCATCCCTGGCTAGACATGAGCGATGTGCACAAGGAGACCACGGAGAACGTGCGGATTACGGTGATCCCCTTCTATATGGGCTGCCGCGAGACGCCTGCCAGCTCTGTGTATTGGGTGCGAAAAGAAGCCATATGTAATGTTACCTAAAAATAATGATACCTATTCTAGTGGCGCTACTGCATCAGGCTGGAGAACCTTGGAGAGCTGAGCGTACAGCTCCGCGAGCGCCACTGGCGCATATTTTCGCTGTCCGGAACCTTGGAGACGGTGCGCGGAAGGGGAGTGGTGGGCCAGGAGCCCATCCTAAGCCCTCGGCTGCCCGCCTTTCAGTACAGCAGCCATGTGAGCCTGCAGGCACCCAGCGGCCATATGTGGGGCACCTTCCGGCTGGAGCGCGAGGATGGTTATTCCTTTGATTGCAAGATCCCGCCCTTTTCGCTGGAGAGCAAGCCGGACGACATTGGACCTCCCACAACGGCCACGTCCGCTGCCCACGATAAGAAGCGCGACGATAGCGACTAAGAGGCAGTTGTTCACTAGTAGTTAAATGATTTTAAAACGCAACTTTCTCTGCGTACATGTGTTTAGTGCAAATTACAATAATCAACCAGGACGCAGACGACCCCGTTCCGTTTCTCAGCCCAGTCGCACGTTTTTGGTCTCTAGCTTTATAGCAAAGTCGAAGGGTCGTCGGTTGTCGTGGGTGTCGAAGATGCTCTGGAGGCCGTCGATGGCCGCCGTTTCCGTCGCCGTCTTAAGGTCCTCGCCGAATCCTTTGCCCAGTAGCTGGCGATTGGCGTAGATGCCAACTTGGTAGGCGGCCAGCACTGTGTTCCGACCGCAATCTCCGAGCAGGCGTGGCTCTGCTTCGCCCAGCTTTCGCTCCTTGCAGATCTTCTCGAGAAGTTGGAGGGGATCCTGGGGTGTCCACACATCCAGCAGGTCTTTTTGGTTCAGTTGGGTGCAGATGAAATCGCGGACAAAGAGGAAAGCTCTTTCGACGCCGCTGGAATCCGCTAGGGCGCCGATCACCGCCTGCAGGGATTGGGCCAGACTTTCGGCAGTGGGCGGGTACTCCGTGGATTGGATCAGATCCTTGCTTCCCAGATGGGAGGAGACGTGAGCTAGGGTCTCTGTGCTAAGCAGATAAGCAGCAATCGCCTGGAGTCCTTCTTTAGGGACTTTTGGCAGCTGGTGCTGCAGAAAGGCATTCACGTAAGCGCGCGCAATATGGTGGCCCTTTTCGGCCAAATCGCTGTTGTCGGGCACCTGGAGGTCCGTCTCCTCAATGCCCAGCTTCCGACGCCGCTCCTCCTCGCGCCGGGCGAAGGATTTCTCTGTGAAGGCCCGTTGTAGCTGGGACAGTTCAAAGGATTCTCCCAATCGCTTGCCAAATGCGAACAGCTCTGAGCGCTGGTTCCACTCCAGAAATCCGGACCGCGCCTCTGGTTTTTGAGGTCCCAGTTTCTTCTGCCGGTGAGCGAGCTCACGTAACGTCGGCGAAACCCAGCGTTTGATGTGGCGCCGTGTTTGCACTGCCGGAAAATCGCAATTACTGACATGGATTGCTTAAGTTCGAATTTCAAACCTGTGGTTGCACCTTCCAAGACCTTGACACGCGCCAGGAAACCAGCGGCACTGCGTAAGAAGGACATCTTTGAAGCGATCTTAAAAATAATTAACGAATGTTTCAGCAGCGCATGGGAATCAGTGTTGAAAAGCAATCGCAAGTCTAATAGCAGTGATGGCAGCCCAACTATTTTTGTTTGAAAAAATTTTATTTTTGTGTTTGTTTAAACATCCATTGCTAAGTTAAAAAATATATTTTTAACCAATGAAGATTATGTTTCACAAATTATTTCTTTCAATAATTTTAGTTTTTATAATAACAGATTTTTTATGTTACGGGTTGTTGGCGCCTATAGAATAAATAATAATAATCATTTGTTAGAATTTTATCTTAACTAACAAATAGTTATTTGTTATCATAACTAAAATTTAGAAAAGCTTGTCTTTCTTAATGATTTATTTAGCTTTTTTTGTAACCAATTGGCAGCATCTCTGAATTGCGTTGGTGGATCTCGCGCGTTTTCCAACACTTCCGCGATAGACGCCATGTCCATGTCTGTGTTTGTGTATGCGGCAGGAAAATTTTAGTTGCAAAATATTAAGAAGAAATCCTGCAGAGAATCCGTGAATTAGAAAACCAAGGAAGCTGACGGACCCAACATGGCGCTGCAGACTTACGGGGACAAGCCGGTGGCCTTTCAGCTGGAGGAGGGCGGCGAGTACTACTACGTGGGTTCCGAGGTGGGCAATTACATGCGCCACTTTCGCGGCATTCTGTACAAGAAGTACCCGGGCATGACTCGCATCGTCCTGTCCAACGAGGAGCGCAAGCGGCTGGCCGAGTCCGGCCTCAGTTCCCACATCCTCGCCAGTTCTGTCTCGCTACTCCGTGCGGTGGAAGTGGACGACATCATGGCCGGCAACGATGAAAAGTGAGTGGGGTAGCCTCAGTCAGAACAGTATCTTTGAGGTACTGGTTTATTATAGCCATTCAATTGGAAAATATTTTCCTAAAATAAGCAATAGCAGTTGTAGGATATTTTGAAAATTAGTTCTGAAGTGTTATTCAATTTCTTTAAATATTGTATGTTTAATGAGTCCAAGTTCTTGAAGTAGCAAAAAGGAATTTGATAAATAGAATATTAACTATTAACTTATGGAAAATAGTTTACCAAAATTGAGGTACCCAAAGAAATTTATATTGTTTCCAAGTAAATGTGGAAACACGAGCCTTGCTTTAAAATTTCCAATTCTTAAGTTCAATTCTGTTCTTTTTTTTTGCTCTTGAAAACACATTTTTTCTTAATTTCCCAATAATTCAGAAAATGGGTAAATTAAAATGAAAAAAAAAACACAACTTTTTTTTTAAATTTGTGGTGGGTACTGTGACTTTATGTTGAACCGGCCTACTACTATTTGTCATATAATTAAAACCTATAGGTTTTAGTGAAGGCAACAAAGTTTTATGTTTGACAGAAAGCCAGGTTTCTTGTGCAGGGTTTATCATCAATAATCTTAGCTGTCACTTTATATTTCACTTTATTTAAATATGAAATTGCGTCCCAGGTACCGCGCCGTCTCCGTGAACACCTCCGATACACCAGTGCCGCGGGAGAGCAAGTCTAAGAAACAGCCGCAGTATGTTCCCACGATGCCCAACTCCAGCCACTTGGACGCAGTGCCGCAGGCCACGCCCATCAACCGCAACCGAGTGCACACAAAGAAGGTTCGCACATTCCCCATGTGTTTCGATGACACAGATCCAACTGCCAGTCTGGAAAATGCGGCGCAAAAGGAGTGCCTGGTGCCCATTCGACTTGACATGGAGTTGGAGGGACAGAAGCTGCGCGACACCTTCACCTGGAACAAGAACGAGAGCATGATCACGCCCGAGCAGTTTGCGGAGGTGCTTTGCGACGACTTGGACCTCAATCCCCTGCCTTTTGTGCCGGCCATTGCGCAGGCCATCCGGCAGCAGATTGAGGCCTTCCCGAACGATCCCCCCATCCTCGAGGAGAGCTGCGATCAGCGGGTGATCGTTAAGCTAAACATTCACGTGGGCAACACTTCGCTCGTCGACCAGGTCGAGTGGGACATGTCCGAGAAGAACAACAATCCGGAAGAGTTTGCCATAAAGCTCTGCGCGGAATTGGGATTGGGTGGAGAATTTGTCACGGCCATTGCCTACAGCATTCGTGGCCAGCTATCCTGGCACTGTCGCACGTATGCCTTCAGCGAGGCACCGCTGTCCACGATTGATGTGCCCTTCCGCAATCCCAGCGACGCCGACGCGTGGGCTCCATTCCTAGAAACGCTCACCGACGCCGAGATGGAGAAGAAGATCCGTGATCAGGACCGCAACACGCGACGAATGCGGCGACTGGCTAACACGACAACTGGCTGGTGATCTTTCGTCGAGCCAGCAATATGTCACTAATGTAATCCTCCTAATAAGTACCATTATTCATCTCAAATACACGTGTGTCTGCCGATTTTAAAACCAACTGTGTGCTACAACAAAAATCTAAGACGATCTGGCTCTTGACCTAAATCTCATATTTTGTTTAGTTTTTCTTCCATCAAGTAATCCCAAATGTAGTTACAAATTAACCTGCTGATCTTTACTGCTTACACTAGACACGAAACCTTACACTACTTTAACCATCACTAACTCTCCCCCGAGTCGGGTTTGTCTTGGTCTTGATCGCCATCGTAGAACTCGTTCTTGGCATCAACCATCTTGTCTTCATCGGCTACGGACATTCGGACGTCGGGGTCGGCCGCCTCATCCCTATTGTTGCGCAGCTCCTCCAAGTCCACATCTGGCGGAGTCTGTACCATTTGGACGCTGGGCGAGTGCTGGCACATCTTAAGGTTTTCATAAACGTGCTTTACGATTAGTTCCAGATACTGCTTTGAGTTAGCATTATCCTGACGCGAGTTAATCTCTGGATGGAGGGTAAAGTCTGGTGCGAAGAAGTCATAATACTCGGTGGCAGGGAGATCATTTTCAATGTCTTGGTCCACCAGCAGCGAGGTCTCGTGCGTCCAGCAGCGAGCCACATTCCTGAGGGTGTAGCCACCGCCTCCAACGACCAGAGTGGGTACATTCAGCTCCTTCACAAACTTGACGCACTCTCCGTGTCCCTTTGTACTCAAGGAGAAGCAACCAAGGCGATCCCCGGCCAGGGAATCCGCTCCACACTGAAGAACAATGGCCGTTGGCCGGTAGAAGTCCATTATGGCCGAGATGATAGGCTTGAACACCTGAAAGTAGCTCTGGTCATCGATGCCCTCCTTGAGCGGCACATTTACGCTGTAGTATCGTCCCGACTCCGCGCCAATCTCGTACATGTCTCCCGTGCCCGGGAAGAAGTAATTGCCGTATTTGTGGAACGAGGCCGTCATCACTCGATCCGTGAGGTAGAAAGCCTCCTGCACTCCATCGCCATGGTGCACATCGATGTCGATGTATAGCACTCGAGGATGGTACTTCAGCAGTTCCAATATGCCGATCACGATATCATTCACGTAGCAGAAGCCACTCGCCTCGAACTTCTTGGCGTGATGAAGTCCGCCGGACCAATTGATGCAGATGTCGCTATGGTTGTGATTTAGCTTCTGGGCTCCCTCCAGCGAGGCACCCGTGTACATTGCGCAGAAGTCGAAGAGGCCGTCAAACACGGGGCAGTCCTCACCCACGCTGAAGTGAGCCAGGTACTTGGTGTAGGCCACGGCTGCAAAAAAGATATTTCGCTTGTATTCCGTTTAAATTTCTTGACCATTATGGTCTATTAGCTAACTATTTAATACAAAGAAATCAACTTTCTGCATTCATTTGTCTAATTAATTTAAATTTAACATCACAAGCAAATTAATAGTGAAAATGGAGTGCTTATCATATTCAAATGCATTTAGGCCTGAAGAAAGCTTCCTCATTTTATATGAAAGGATCTAAAGAAGTTTAAACATTGTTTTAATTATTTTTCACATTATTATAGTTTTGACAAGGGTGTTTTGTTGAAAAGTTAAGTACGCAATGAACAGTACCATCACCCTTGCAGATCTTTATTTTTATTCATCTTGGAAATTATGTTTTTCATTAAAGTCAATTTTATGTCAATTTAAAAACAAAATTACAGTATTTGGTTCGACGTAGAAGCATAAACAAATTAAATAAAGTATTAACAAATTTTAAAGATTAAATAGTATTGACAATATATTTTTTTTAATTAAATGCCAGCAATTTTTTTTGTCTTAGTACTTTACTAAATGAGAAAATTAACGATTGATGTAATTAATGTGTTTCCTTTGTGCTAAATTAGTATATAAACGGAGGTTAATGCTCCCTATTGAATATTCAAGACGAGTCAAAGTTTAGGTAATTAAACTAAACAAATGCTTTTTAATGAAGTTCCCTGATTAGATTTGGATATTTATAACTTACAATTGCACTGGATGTTTTGCGGAGTAACCTGCTGAAGGTAGGCGATGTACTCGTCGCTGTGAAACCGGAGCATGTCCTGGGCACTGGCCCTGCAAAAGGAATACAGGTCAGAATAGGATAGAATTAAATAAAACCTACCCCTATCACTTACTTGTACGGTCTGTAGATCTTCATCTTCTTGTGGAGTCCGTAGTTCATCACCAGGCTGTGGGTGACCGCTAGACGCTGCGGCTTCATCGGATGCCCGGCTCCGTAGTGGAAGTTGCCCACATCCGCGTTGTAGAAGTACGATACCCTCCGGTCCGTCATGGCTGCTCGATTCTTCGATCCGGTCCAATCCTCTCGGAGCGCCGTAGTGCCCTAGTCGTAGTCCAGATCTTCGCCGGGTAACAAATACGTTTTCGCATACAGGACGATGAGCAGAACGGCCACGATAAACAGGAGTCGCCGGGTCGTGTCGTATTCGCCCAACAGCATGCCGCCTCCGTGGCCACTAGACCAACCAAAGCCACCTTATATACGTTTATTTATTCTTGCAAAACAATTTGCAAATTGATTGCTAATTGAAAGCAGCTTAAAGCGGCGTGGGACAAAAACGCACTAAAATATACCATTAATTAGGGATGTACCAGTGGCATGCAAATGTATATACGCTACGTGACACGAAAAAGTTACTTCACGCGTGCATCTCTAAACATTAGTAAACATTTGCAAAACATTGCAATTCGTAAGCATCGAAAATATGTTAATGCACAATTTTAAATTTTACAGAAATATATCCCCTCTAATAATACTTTTGTGATCAAATTTATGATTTTTTAAAGTTGCTTAGATGCACAAAGACCTTTTATAGAAAAAAATAATGAACTAATATGTAAATTTAACAATTTGACTTAAATGACTGAATTTATTTATTTGTTTATTTTTATTAGAAAAATGGAGTAAAAATTGAAATTTGTACTGAAAGGCTTTAAGAAACATACATTTGGTCAAGAACTTGTTCTCATCAAAATATTAAAATAATTTTTCAATCTTTTGCCAATCAAAGCTTATATTTATTATGAAAATACAATTTTGTAGACTTTACAAATCAAACTTCCGCTCTCAGCACCCGACAGATCTGGCCGAAAAATAGCTAGGACTAAGCCGACATCACCGAAAATGCCTGCCGCGCTTTCTTATCGGAATCATTTTGCGATAAAGCTTCGTCCAGTTGGAGTGGAATGCAGTAATCAACAATAAAAGTCAGTGGGTAAGGGAATGCAAGAAGTGTGTCAACTGGCTGAAAACAGCGTACCAGGAAGCGCTCCTTTCGGCCATAGCAACCGATAAATCCAAGCAAAATCGGAGCAAATTACGAAACCGCAATTGATTTTAGTCCCAATCGAGATGTAACTTGTGAACTGGTAAAAATAATTAATAAATAATTCAGATTCCACTGCGGTACCCATCAGATATTTCCGATGTTGACCCTGTATTACGTGAGTGCCACCGTCCTGCAATCCTGGCGAATTCAGAAGGCATGTTCCAAGATCGCCGAGCACCTGGCGCAGCCCTCGAGCATCGCCTTCTATGCGCTTCAGGCGGGAAGCGACGATGGATTCGGTGAGTGGAAGATGACTGAAGCGTGGTGAAGCTATATGTAGGCTTCCCTTATCCACCCCCAGATCCCGCCCTGGCCAGCTCGGAGCTGTGCGGCAACCGGAACGCGGCCAAGGTCACGGACATCCTGTGGTTGCACGCTAACCAACGGGGCTGCTGTCTCCGTCCGCTGCAGACGCTCCACATCACTCCCTGGATTAGCTTCCCGTCGGCGCCCAGCCTGCTGCCATTTTCCTATGCCGCCGACACATTGACGCCGGTGACCACGCCAACGGAGGCGGGTACTCCCAGGCAGCGGGTTTCGCTGTCTGCACAGGGCGAGGAGCGGATGCAGTTGCTCTTGGAGGCTCACGTGGAGCCACTGCAGCGACCCAGTTCCCAGGACACTACTGCCGTACGGGTAAGTCTCTATCATTTTCAAATAATTATGTATGCCCTTTCAGAGGGTATTATAATTTTAGTCAAGAATTGGCAATACATTGAAGGAGATTAGAAAATTTTTATAAAGTATATATATTTTTGATCAGCATCAGGAGACTCAATATAGCCATGTCCGTTTGTTAGATTTAAAGCTATCTGGATGAAACTTTCCAAGAAGACTCCTTTCTATTTCAGGTAGTAAGTATACAATATATTTTTTTTTTAGCATCGGACGAGTATATCAATATCTTCCATAGGAAGATAGATAAAGCCGTTGAATAGTATATTTAATTTGTGTAACAGCTGCAAGGGTATATAAACTTTTTATATATAGATTCCGTGTGATGGGAGTTCAAATTTTTAGAGTTTCAAAGTTTATTTGAAAATTTCGTACAAGGGTAGGGTAATAAATGTTCGGCTATAAACCATCCGCAATGCTAACGGCCGTGCGTGCGGTAATGTGATTAAGATGTAGCCGTCCCAAGACAGTTGAATCGATATAGAGCTATCGTCATACATCTGCTTACCAATGGTCTTCCTTTGTTCCTTTTCTTTCCTGCTTGCATGTCGGGTGCCCATGAACCAGCTGGAAGATTACGGTAAGCTAATTGCATGGAAAATAGACTCCCACCTGGCGGTGCTCATCGAGACAGACGTCGAGCACTTCACGCAACTTTTGATAACTACATTCTTGCGAAATAATTTATGCATTAACGATCAGCTGCCACTTCTGCGGATTGAGTGTAAGCTGGATCTAATATCGTTTTCATACCCCCTGATTTAACTTGAAATCACACTGATGAATTTTTCTCTCGACCCTAGCGGTTCAGCGCGAAGGAGATCCGCAACCCTTTGAGCTGCTTGCCAATCACCTAAAACGGCAGTCTCGGACGACCGTTGGTCTGGACAAGGATGGTTGGAAAAAACACCTAGAGGATTTGCGAGCGGTCGGTGTGCTGGCCCACCAAGCCACTGAGTTTGAATACCAAAGAAATCGCTCTGAGGGAAGGACGAAATCAGATCTTCTTGCACAAGAACATCGTCAGACTCCTGAACCCGTGGTCAAGGCGGTGGCTGTGGTAGAGCCCACCAACAAGGCATCTTTGTCTCCCGCAAGGATCACTGCTAGTTCACAAAAATCTGAGGCCAAGAGAACGACAACCAATTCATCTCTTACTAAAAGCGAGGCGAATCCGCAAACAACTCCTGCTAAGAGCGAGGCCAAAACCACTCCCGCTAAAAGCGAAAGCCAGAAAACAACAACCAAGGAGGAGTCCAAGTCAACGCCAAGTAAAGGTGATTCCAAGCCAAGTGAACTGGAGAAGCTAGCGGCTGCTCAGGCGGCGCAGCATCAAAAGATAGAGAGTTTGGATGTGTCGCCCATTAAAGCTACTCCCGTGACTAAGCCAACTGCTCCTAGCAAAATCAACGAGCCCGCCAAATCTTCAGCCGAACCAACAAAGTCTACTAAATCCTTTGAGGTGGTTAAGCCCTTAAATTCGCCTCCGTCATTTGGAACTACTTCGCGTCCTGTGCTGCAACGGAATAAGGATAGCTTGCAGGAGAGCAAGCCCCTGAATGTTTTAGTGTACTCGGACAGTGCCAGTGCACGGGAATCCACGCTGGCCACCCTCCAGCAGCTACTAGAACGAAATGTGTACACCATCTATCCGCTGATGCCACAGCAAGCGGCTCAGAAGTACTGGACAGAGCAGACAGCGCTGCTGGTTGTCTGCGGATCAGTGGCACCAGGAATTGGCCAGATACTGGTGGACTATTTTCTGCAGGGCGGCAAAGTGCTGAGTCTCTGCTCGGATATACTTCACTTTATTCTGCCCAATTATCGCACAGCGGAGGTAAGAATATTTCGCATAGATCTTAAAATGATTCAATATCGTGTCCTATAAGAAAAAGTTATGATATTAAATAAATTAGTTTATTGTAAACTATTTTATTTTAAATTCCATTGAATATGAAACTAAAAAACCTTTTTTGCAGGTTCGAGAGCACGAATTGGTTCAGTTCTCCTATGACAAATGGCAAAGGGTCAAGATGATGCACCACATCTTCTGCTACCAGCCATCGCCAGTGAAGAAACACTTTTCCACAGACAGCGAAGAGTCAACCAAGTCGCATTCCCGCAAACCGTAAGTAAATATGTTTCTTAACCACACTGAGAAGCAGCAGACTGACCGCCTCCAAAACATAATGCTAACCTTGCCAATCTATTTTATAGAGTAAAACTCATTAAATGACTAAAAAGTATATTCGAATCCTCTATGTTGCATGTTTTATACACTCAATACCCCTAAACAAAACTAATGGCTTATTGCACATTCAAAGGCGATTTACATTGTGTACAAGGGATGTCTAAATTTGTATATACTTTTACTTTATTAATTTGTAATACTTTCTAAAAGTTTATTTGGGGCTAAAATAAAAAGGAAAACGGACATCACTGTCTTTTCCTTAAAGTTTATATAATTACCGTGCTAATATTAAACTTTTTATAACTAATGCCAATTCTACTTTTATTTCTAAAATGATTCTTGCTAAAATTTTCTTCGTTTTCTCTTGAATTTCTTTTGGTGCACACCATAATCTATCGTAACTTTAATTCGAAACTGCATAATCAATTACTGCAAATTTGGTATGAGTTTCATACAATGCTATTATTATGAATGAATAATCATTTATAAGTGTAAGAAAAATTTCGATTACTTTTCTGTTTAAATGGATATTTTATTTTGAAAATATTTTCCTCTGCTTGACATTTATATTCTGTTCACCATATATCGTTTGTGTGATCGTTTCTTTTTCTGCCCTCCTATATCTATATATTTCTGTGTGTGCTTCTACTTGTGTGTGCTATCTCTATTATAATCCTACCTACCATTAACCAAAATAAAAACATAAACCAAAAACAAACATAAACCATAAAACAACAAAATCAAACCACGAAACGCTGCTCAGAGCTCTAGTATGTCCAAGGTCCATGGAACTGAAGGATCTGGCCGGTCACAGTCACAAATTGGATGTCCAGGTGCTGGGCACCGAAGAAACTTGGAACACGCCCAGCTTGATGTTGGCCAAAAGCCTGCAGAGCGGGGGCAAGGCCGTCTTCTCGCAGGCATGTATTTCCTTTACCTAATTTAATGTACTATTTAATGAATGATTTCATTTGTAACAGGTTCATTTGGAGATGAATCCCAGCGAGTTTGAATCGGACGAGATTAAATACTCTATTCTTAAACAAAACGAACGCACTCGCCTCGAGATCTTTTCGGATCTCTTGAGGAAGTACTTGGATGTGCAGGTTCAGGGTGGAGAGGGTCTCGATCATTCGCAGCCTGGAGTGGTCTATCAGCACGCCTATTTCTTGGGACGTCATGAGGTGAGCAGATAGATAAGCTTGTTTTGAGCACTGAATAAGTGATTTTTTTTACCACAGGCTAAGTTTGAACTTCTGGAAAAGCTGCGTCTTCGTTGCAGTGGGTCCGACAACGTGATAGCAACGCCCAAGCTGACAATTAAATTCTGTGGCAAGGACGATAAGCCACCAGTGGCCAACAACAATGTCTTGCCCATACTGATACATTCCTGTCCCGACGATTTCTCCACTGTAGAATACTTTGATGTGCGCACATTTTATTTAATTTAAGAATAGTTGTTAAGATATTCCACTACTTCATAGAATCTTAAAACGGAGCATATTGGACGACTGATCATCTATGCACCAGTTGTAAGCAGTTCCATGCATGTCATCAACAACCTCGAACTCATCAACGGCCTCGCTGTGCTCCCGGTGCAACAAACCTCTGGAGTTGGACGCAGCAACAACCAGGTAAATATTCTGAGAGTCATCATATTCCACTACATAAACTTATTATCTGTACGTACTCTTGCAGTGGCTAAGTCCTCTGGGCTGTGCCATGTTCTCTTTGCAACTCCACCTAGCCATGGACTCAGCGCTGGGCTCTCGGCTGCCTCTGTTGCAGCATCTAATAGGAGCCGCCATTGTCAATTCTCTACGTGGTCATGAACAGTATGGGGTGAGTGAAGAATGCAAACATTATACATCTACTAAACAAAATTTATGTTGGTAAAAACGGCATTAGTTTGTTTATGAACTTACAGCATTTTTAAACATTTAAATTTGGGCAAGTGAATATGATTTTGGTTTATATTTTTATCTATTTGGTCACTCAGTAATTTTGTTACTTGTTTAGGACTAAGTTTACCCAAGAGTCAGTATCTGAATACATCATAATTTTAAATTGATAGCGAAACCATTTCTCTACCAGTCTTTTCACGCCTTTTCTTTCAATCGAAAGCAAACACTTAGTTATTTGGTTGTAGTGATAAGTTTATTTGACATTCTGCTTGATTTCGCATTTTTAGTCGTTTTACTATATACATTTGACCATACATAATTCACAATATATAATTAATTAAACGCTAATCTCTCATATACACGTCTGTATATACATATATATAGAGCTTTACTTACACATAATTAACAATTTAGAAATTGCTCACCTGATTAACGTTTACATTAATATTTGCCACAGTGCTTGTTTGTTTGTATATGTCTATGCCTTCTCAGTTTGCCTCTGCTCTTTAACATTTAAACGTTTTGTCTTTTTCGAGTTAACATTTGTTTTGCCTTTGTTTTGTTTGCTCACAACTGCAACTGGATTGCAACCGATACACATAATTTAGTTTTAAAATCGTTAGCTATAATTTGATAGTTACGTTTAAATATTTACAATCTTCGTTTTGTTCGATAGAACGTTGAATAGGAGAGTTTACTGTTTAGGAGGACGCGAGCTAGCTTAGATAAGCGGTCGAAATTGTACTACAGTGACAGTGACCAGGTTGCAGCTCCCTCAGAACACGGACTCCGCGGACCGGGAGAGATTGACGGGGTGAGAGGGACTTCGCGCCAGCCTCTTCTTGGGCAGATGTTCCAGCAGTGAAAGCAGTCGTGCGAATTGGGGTCGGTGCTCTTTCTCGTACGTCCAGCACAGCATCAGCAAATCCTTGACATCCCGTCCGGACTGCAGGTTGGCCAGCGATTGCTTCATCCCACGGCCCACCTGCCAGATAATCGACTCTGCCGGCTGGTCCTTAAATGTGAACTCACCGCAAATAAGTTCGTACCAGACTGTTCCAAAGGAGTAGACATCAGAGTAGGGTGTAAATTCCAAGCACTCGCCGCGCGGCTTCTGCGGCTTCAGCGCCCGGATGAGCTCCGGTGCCAGATAGCACAACCAGTTGTGGGGCACCCCTAGGCCCATATCACAATAGAGCAGCTTGGTGGAGCTGAACAGCCCGAAGTCCGTGATAATCACCTTGCCGTTCTCGATGAAGATGTTCTTGGTGCGCAGATCTTTGTGGATAATCTCCCTCGCGTGCAGGTAGCCCATGCCCTGGGCAATCTGCTGGGCAATTAGCAAAGTCCGATTCATTGCGAACTTCTCCCGGCGCTGGTGGATGTACGTGTACAGGGTGTTGCCTTTGCACAGCGAAGTCACAATGGCCAAATAAGGCGGATTCATGCAGGCTCCCATGAACAGCACCAGGTTCTCGTGGCGCGTCTTCTTGAAGTTGGCCACCTCGCTGCGGAAGGTCTCCAGCATGTGCTCGTCCTGCAGATAGTCCTCGTTGAGCAGCTTTACGGCCACATCTCCATGCCACAGGGCCCGATGCACAGTGCCAAAGCGCCCCTGACCGATCCGCTCGAGCAGCTCCAGGTCGCCGTAGGGAATGTCCCATTCCTTTAATGAAATGGAGTTCTGTCTCCACTGTCCCGAATCTCCGTCTTCCGTCGAGTCCACTCGAACGGGCGTCCTGTCCGAATCCGTGCTGGCGCTTCCGGACAAGGAGACTGTCTTGTCGCTGTCGTTCGACTTGTGTGTGTCCGTGTACTCGCTGGTGAAAGGCGTCCTCTTGTCCACTCCGGCTGTGCTCAGTTTTCGCGGAAAGAAACTGCTGGTACTGGTGCTGGTTGTACTGTTAACCAGACTGCCCGTCACGGTGGCGGCACTAGAAGCATTCGATGTCTGGCTGCTGATCAAGGAGCTCATGTGCCCGTTGGAGCTGCCCACCAGGCTGTCCAGACCTCCATTCATGGTGATAGGCGCCGGCGGAAATAGCTCTGGCACTGGTTCATTGGAAATGAGCGTATCGCCTCCGCTTCCGCCACTACCCGTGACCGTCACGTTTGGAAAGTTGAACTGACTCTGCTGGTGCTTGCCCAGAGATGGCGTGGGCACTAGATTGGCGCTGGAGCTGCTGCCACCATAGCTGCCAGCCTGATCCAGCTCGCGCTCCCGCGCTAATTGGTGGCACAGCGCTGGACTGCTTGGTGTGGAGCTGGTGCAGCTGGAGCTTGGCGAACTGCTGTCGCCGTGCTGCTGATGCAGCGGCTTGCCCAGGGTGTTCTTCTTCACCTGAGGTGATCCCTTGGACGGGCCGTGCACATGCGGCAGACTGGAGTATCCACCCTGCTCTTTAATGTGCCGGAACTCGTCTACATATTCTTGTGGCAGTCCGCAGGAAGGCGGCACATGCGTGGCGCAATTCTTATGGCAGATGTACTTGCAGTCAGTGCACTTAAGCCAGCGGGAAAAGACCTGCTTCTGGCACAGCGTGCAGGTGGCCATGAAGCCGATGACCTTGCTAAAGCGATGCTTGATGGCATGGCCCATGCCGACGTGGCCCACTCCCGGGGAGCATGGCACCATCAGCACGTTGGAGGAACTTCCTCCGGAGCTGGCATTGGTATTGGCATCAACAAAGATGTCCGAACTGGCGGAACTGTGGCTATCCGGGCTGGGATCAGTTGGCAACCGATTGCGGGCTGGTTGCTCTCCGTCCACATGCGCCTGGCTCTGGTTTAGCAGGGTCTGGTGCTTCCTGGCGGGTGGCGGTGTACCGCGACTCCTCTGCGGGGTTCCATTAAGGCTGCTGCTCAGCCCGCTGGAAGGCGTAAAGGGCGAGTTGGGCGGTGAGGGCGTGAGAGTCAGAGTCAGCTGGGAGCCCTGTGTGCTGTTCAGCTCCTCAGTCGCAGTGGGCGACTGACGACCGCTCCTGGAACTGGTTAAACTGGCTAGAGCGGTGTTCTTTCCCTTGACACCATGCTGGCGATGATTGGTTCTCGGGGAGTTGGTTGAATTCTGCCCCAGTCCTATGTTTCCCACGCTGCCGCGGTGAATGTGGACGGGCCTGTCCCAGGAGTCCCAGTGCCACTGCTCAGGATCGTTGTTGCTGGCCGCAGTCCCGCTCTCGAGCGACTCCATGCACCTCCTCAGGTTCTGCATAGCCCTGGTCAGCCGCCGAAGATCCTCTTCCTCCCGCTGGCTGGGGTTGTCGGCCATTAGTTGGCGGATCTCCTCGTCGCTTAGTCGTAGGCTCTGTTCCAGCGTTGTCAGGCGGGCGAGGCAGGCAGTTAGGGTCCCCTGGCTGAGGCCCACCACCCGGAGCCACTGTCTCAACTCGTTGCCCGTCGCGTGGGGCAGCAGCCCGTTGGCCGGGATGCGCTCATTCAGCCGCATCTTGGCAAGCAGCAGCTCGGAGAAGTAGCGCACCAGCTTGGACTCCAGGCAGCGAATCTCCTGCTGCGTCAGCGTGGAGCTGGTGGCGCACTGCGTGCGCAGGCCCTCCAGATGGTTGGCCGAGAGATCAATCATGTCCTGGATGATGACCAGGTTGCTGTCCGCCGATAGGGAACCGGAGACGGGATCATTGGCATTGCTGGAGCCAGAGTCTGGGGCGGATGCGGGGGCGTTGTTGTTGCTGCTCATCCTGCTGATTCGCGGCGAAGTGGAGTCCGATTGATTTTTTCAAACGCCCTCACGGGGGCTCGACAATTCGATGGCACCAGTGACTGGTACTCCGCTCCGCATTGTGGCCCACTTCCGAAACCCTTGACTTTCGCAGCTACTGCTCCGGCTTTCGCGCACTCACGCCCGCAACTCGAGACAGCTCAAGAAATGCGAAAATGGGATTATTTTTACAATTTCCTCGGCTGTTGTTGAAATTTCTCTACACCCAAGTGCAGGGCATTGTGCCAGTGTGACCAGCGCAGAAATTGTTAGCGCTATTTCGCTCTCCAAAATTTGCTAAATAAGGTCCTAGTGCAAATGCACCGCAAGTCTCGTTAGGGGCATCACCGAATTATTGTTAATTCGAAAATAATGTCTTGAAGTCTTCGTATATTTCCCCATTTGTAAAAAACACAAAGTCATATGATTCCAATAATAGTTATTTGCATACCGAACATTTTATATAATTTTATAAATTGATGATTTTACTTACATTTGAATTAAAATTTTATGTATTAAGTCGATAAGTATTTTTTAAGAACTAAAAAAAATAGAAAGAAAGAAATGAAGAAAGAAGGAACGAGAACTGTCCCTTATATTTATTTATATAAATTTAAAAAAAGTGCTAGCCACCGGATTTTATTTCAGTTCTTTCTTATGACAGCCGTATGATATAGTTAACCGATTTAAAAAAAAATTAAAATTGTATTTTTGTAAAAAAAGGGCTATGTATCGTATTATATGTTTAGATTTTTAAAAACTATATTTTAAAATGTAGTTTAATGGATTTGCATTATTTTTATATTTCCAGGTACTGGATATTTCTATTAAGTGGCCGAATGATATTTATGCGAATGGAAATCAGAAAATGGGAGGACTCGTAATTAACACCACTTTGCAGGGTTCGCAGGCCATCGTTAATATCGGCAGCGGAATTAATTTAAACAACTCAAAACCAACTGTTTGCATTAATGACTTGATACGGGAACATAATGCCCGTGCCCCGAACAACAAGTTACCTATGCTTAAATATGAGCTATTTATTGCCATGATTTTTAATGAAATCGAAAGACTATTGGGCGAAGTACAAAATGGAGATTTTGATAGTTTTTATGCCTTATATTACTCACTCTGGTTACACAGGTAAACATATAATACTGTAAATTTTAACCATTTAATTATTTTTATTCACAGCGGTCAAACCGTCAAGATTTGCCTTCACAATGAACAGGAAAGAGAAGCCGAAATTGTGGGAATAGATGATTTTGGATTTTTAAAGGTGAAATTACCTACCGGAACCATAGAAACCGTGCAGCCCGATGGAAATAGCTTCGATATGTTGAAAGGATTGATTGTACCCAAATACCACTAGTTAAATGAAGCAGAAAAAAATATTATTCCCCCAGCCACTTATTTAACAGAGCTATATATTAGCAACTTGTATTTCATAGGTGCATTTAGGTAAATTTATTAAGAATTTATTACATATGTTCAAACAAATATTTACAGGGTGTTTCTCATATTCTTGCTTAAAATTGAGAGAAATACTTTTAAAATAATATGAATTTCACTTAATTGAGTACTGCCAAAAATAAAAAGGTTAATGGAAATCTCCAATAATTATAAAAAATTGTTATAACCCAACAGGTGTATGCTGTATATCCCAGTGTTTTTAAATTCTTTGAAAATGTATCCAGTTCTTTAACCATTGTTATTATCATCGATTTCTCTACGTATTGGTGTTTTTGAAATTAGAGTTTAATAAAGACGTATTTGATCATTGCGGACATTAAAATAAATATTTTATTTAAAGAATGTGGTGTTTAAAGGTATCTTAAAGGAAAATCTGTCGGATCTAACGTACTTTTTCTCAAAACCCCGTTTTTAAAGAAAATTATTTTCTTAAAATAATTTTTTTTTCATATCTTGATTGTTTCTATGGGAGCTATATGATATAGATGTCTGATTTTAATTAAATTAATTAATTTAAACCATAATTCCATAGGATTTAAATATTACTAAGTTCCAAAGAACAAAAAAAATAATAACAAAGTAATACTCAAACAATTTTTTTTTGATTGCTCCTATGCGAGCTTTATGATCTAGTCGACCGATCCGGCTCGTTACGACTTATATAGTACTACCTGCAGTAGAAAGACCACTTTAGAAACGCAAACCTCTTTAGTCAATACTTTTGCATTTTTTAACATTCTTTAAAAAATGATAATTTATGATCAAAGCAATGAAAAATAAGAAATAATTTTTTTTTGTCAAAAATAAAATTGAAAAATAAAAATAAAGATAATTTTTGACAAAAAAAATAAATCTGTGCTTTGTGATTTTTAATACAAAACATAATGGTTACGGCCCCTGAAAAGAATAAATAAAAAACATTTATTTTGTTTAAAAATGATATTATTTATGTTAATTTTTAGTAAAAAATTAATTTTAGTTATCTTTTTGAATTTTGTGGAGTCCGATGGAAATCGTCAGCTCTAGCTCTCAGAGAATCTTAAAACTAGTTGCATACAAATTTAAAGTCGATTTTAATACATCGGTTCTGGCTTTTATATTGTGTGTAAATGAACAAATTAAGTGGTACATTTGATTCTGATAGTATATTTTAATATAATATTGTTAACACTGGTCACGTTAAGAAGGCTTGGTATTTTTGACTTACATAAGCTGGTAACACTCCTGCTTGCTGGAGAAGAAAATTGTGAATAAAATCTGAGACCAAGGCATAGGGAATTATGTCACAACGAAATCACCGAGTGGACCGCTTCGCCCAGATGACGAAGCAGGAGGAGATCATTGCCAAGAAGCGGCAGGAGATCCTTGAGAAGCAGAAGACGGCGCAGCTGGCCAAGGCGGTGGCTGCGGCGCAGAACTTGGCGGCGCAACTGAAAACGGAGACGCCTGCGGGAAAACCGATAGCCAATGAGGAGGAGGAGGAAGAGGATTCACACCAGCAGGACGTCGCTGCTCAAGACACATCCCTAACTACCGGTGAGGAGGCCAATGGCCTGGAGGTAGTCCACATTGAGGTTGCTGCTGGCAAGGGAAAGTTAGAGGACGCAGTGGCCCCCAAGACTCTAAACAGCTTTACCGGAAAGACGGGCAAGATCACATTCGGCCAGAAGCGCCAGCAGCTGCCGCAGCCCAGTGTGGAACAGCCGCCCCCGAAAGTTAAGAACACTTTCTGCAACGATGGTTCCTTCCTGGAGAACTTTAAGAAAATTCTTGAAAAGCATGAGAAGCCGCCCCAGCCCTTACTTGTTCCACCAGTTTCAGTGTCCAGGTCGGTGCCCACTAACTAAAACTCTCAAACTGGTTCTGATATTCACATTTTTTCAGCGCCGAGGAGAACAATCTCCTGGAGACGGACACTGCCGAGAACGGCAGTCCTCAGCTGGAGGCGGCAATCGCCATTAGCTCGGCAGCCGCCATGGCCACTTCTATTACGGTGACTAGCTCAGCGCCAACTCACTTGGCTTTTGGACTGCCCGTACAGGCAGTTCAGCCGCCGCCACCACCGCCGTTCGCTTTCAATCCCACGCTTTTGCAACAGGGTCCACCGCAGATGCAGCTACCAGCAGCCTTCTTCCACGGCCACCTGCCCCTGCATCTGCATCCGGCGGCAGTTGCTCCTCCACCGCCGCCGCCGCCTCCGCAGCTGCCCATCGCATTGGCAAACATGGGACAGATTTACATGCAACTGGGACCGTCTCCAGTGGAGGCCATGCAGTTAAATGCCATACCGGCACCCAAGGAGTTTGACTTAAACGCCATACCAAAGCCACAAATAAACCTGGAGGCTATACAGATGCCCACTATCGGCGGACATTCAGCGGAGCAGCTGGGCCTGCTGCCGGAACACATGGCAATGTCCGTCAATCCTCACCCACCGCCGCCGCCGCCACCTGTGCTGGAGGACCTCGAGCAGCAACAGCCACATTTGCCACAGGTTGTACCTCCACAGCCGCCTCAGCCTACAGTTGCCCCGCCTCAAGGTGTGTATCGTTTGCAAAGCCGTCTTTGTTGTCTGCTCTGTTATGCCATTTGCCATGTCCTTTCCATGCTAAACATCTATCCTCACCCTCATCCCAACCAATCTCCCATTTCCCACTCATTCAAATTGTATAGAACTTTAATCGTTGAGCACGATTTTAAAGCAATTTATGTAGTTTTTTCAGAAACGTGCATACAATTGCCAACGTGCTTAGAAAACCTAATCGCACTGGTCGCGGAAAACGGTGAAGATTATGAAGATAAAATACGTTTGCATAGAAGCGAGTTGCATCCGGCCTTGTGGTAAATGACCTAAACATGTTTTAACTGGGACTAGGACTGGCGCCCAAGGGACGTTCTTAGGAAATGGGTCGGTGAGGGGCGTATAGCCTAGGGATTTAAGTTGGCATTTCACTTGCACATATTGCTGAGTTTTCATTAGGGAAATGTTGTTTTATAATCGTAGACCTTGCACGTGTAATTCACTTTTTATTTGCTAGCAAAGCTAATTTTTGTAAAATTTGATACTGCCAGTCTTTATATGGAGTATCTTAATTTTTTCAAAATAACTTAAATATTAATTTAGGGCAGCTCTTGCTGACCAAAATAGTTACGTTTCGAAATTTCAAGCCATCTATTAAGGATGAGCTTAAATAACCTGATATAAGTTTTGTAATTTTCTATTTGATTTGAAGCACAGGAATCTGTTTTAAACACGGCCAAATACATTCGTTTGATCTGTTTTAACTTAAATGTCTGATAAATATTAAATGTAAAACACAGATAATGCTGCTTTCAAAGTATTGGGAATTAGTGTTGAGTTAAAATTTTTTTCTGAGAATTTATCGACCAAACGAACTAACTCCAAGAGCAGTAGCTTGGACTCATCGAACGCACAGTGATCCGTCGTTCCTCGATCGTCGTCTAAAATCTGGAGGAGCCAGCCGGCGGAAGCCAATAAAAAATCTCAGAATAAACCGCTAATGGGGCGCCTCAAACAGTTACTCATATAATGTCTTTGTACATGTGACTAGCGTCGAGCACTTTTCATTGTATGTTTCACTTCTTTTGAATTTGATAATAGGTTTCTTTATGATAAGAGCTGCGAGCAGTATCGAAGCTATCGCTCCCAACTCCTTGACTACGAGCGACAGCGTGCTGAGCGGCAACAGGAGCGGGAGCATCAGCAGTTAAGCCGGGATCAGCAGCCTCAGCTTAAGGAGCAGGAGCTCCAGCCGCACCAAGAGGAGCAGCACAGCAACTCGGCGGCCGACAAATACGACCCGGAGTCGGCCATCAGTGCGGATTTCGACTCGGATGATGAGTACATGCGGGGCATGATGGACCGCAACCGGGACAACATCAAGCGCCGCATCGAATGCCGCAACGAGTTGAGCGACGAGGAAAGGCGTGAGCGGGAAGAGGCGGCCGCAGCCGGAGAAACAGTCGATCCCGATGATCAAGATGAGCAAGAGGACAAGGAGTCGCAAAGGCAGCGACGAAAGCGCGAGCGCAAAAGCCGCTGGGGCGAAAAAGAGCTGCAGTTGCCATCCTCAAGTGAGTTTCTTAATTTATTAAATCTTATCATTATAAATTATAAATTATTTCTATTACTTATAAATTTTTGTAGTAAATCAAAATTGGTCGTTTTTGCTTTTAACAGCTTTTTCCTTTAAACAACAAAATGTTCACGTTGCTTTTAATAGCTATACAATTTTTTCCTTTTTTTATTCAAAAAACACTTATTTTGATATTTATTTTTACTTTTCCTTTATTTGTATTTATTAGCGAGAAAAGAAACGATCACGCGTAAAAGGAGAAAAGCTTAACCATTATAATACTTATAAAATTTAACCTGTAATCTATACCATGTTTAGGCACCTCGGGGCACTTTGGAAACCAAAACAAGCCTATGCTAAGCAGCATAACGCGCACTGATCCCGCACTGCTGCAGTATGCTCGCCTCAACTACGGCTCCACTCAGCTGACCGAAGAACAGTGGAAGCAGTGCGAGGAGCACTACAAAGTCAACCTCCTGTATCAGGACATGATGCGCAAGCGCCAGGAGATCGATCGCCTGGCTCGCGGCGGAAAGTTCAAGTACGAGTACGACTCCGACGAGGACATTGAGGGCGGAACCTGGGAGCACAAGTTGCGGACAGCCGAAATGGAAGCCACCTCTTTGTGGGCCAACGCCCTGACCAAGCAAAGTGAGGGAAAGCATCACATTGGCGACTTCCTGCCCCCCGAGGAGCTCAAAAAGTTCATGGAGCAGTACGAGGCGAAGAAGAACAACCGCCAGCCGGACCTGAGCGACTACAAGGAGTACAAACTTAAAGAGGACAACATTGGATTCCAAATGCTGCAGAAACTCGGCTGGAAGGAGGGTCAAGGCCTGGGTCAGGACGGAGCCGGAATTGTGGATCCTGTCAACAAGTGTGTTGCGCTGTTTCTTTAGTAAATATTTCAATGTATAATTAACAAAGTTAAACAGGGCTCCGCAGCGCGATGGAAACCAAGGACTTGGGGTAAGCAGTGCTGCCCAGCCAGAGGACTGCGACAATGAATACGACGCGTACCGGAAGCGCATGATGTTGGCATATCGCTTTCGTCCAAATCCCTTGGTAAGTAAAATGGTATAATGGCTCGAATTAGGAAGGATAGAAGATAGAGGAAGTTCCTCTGCCTTTTTGTTTGTTATACATATTTCTTCCTTCAACTTCTTATATATACTATTTTATTTCAGAACAATCCTCGACGCGCATACTACTAGTAATACCTTTATAGATCATTATTACCCAGGAACCATATTATACAGATATTCAACCACAATTTTTGCTGAATAAAATGCCCTTGTTTAAATTAAACAATGAAAACCAGTGTAATTAAATGGTTTTCTTTTATTCAGAATAGTTCGTAATTAACTTAAAGCTATTGCATGTGAAATACGGCTTGCGATTGTTCGAAACTTATCGATCTTGATCCGATTAAAACCGGATGAAGCCTATTTCACAAGAAACTTCACTAGGGACTATCGTCAAGCGTTTAGGAGTTCGTTCATATAAAAGAGTAAGTAGTGAGTCTCTTGGAACTAGAGTCTGGCCTCTGGAATTCAATTTCAATTGGGTTGAGAGTCACAGCTCCCACTCCAGGGATGAGCTCTATTCTACGGGGAACTGGGCGGAACACCTAAACGCTAATAATACTAAGTTGTACTCGAACTGGAAGCGAGGGTCTAGTCTAGGAGTAGAGCGTCAGCACGGGCGTCTGGTTGCCGCGGGCCAGGGCCACCGGACACTTCATGTCCGACGTAAGCATCTCCAGCCAGGACATGTACAGCGGCGAAGATATGGCTTCCTACAAAGGGAAACGGATATGTTAGTGGAATAAACATGTGGAGTAGCCCCAAACAACTCACCTTGCGTGGCATGGGCAGGGACATGACCACCAGAGAGGCGTTCGACGAGTGCTTAACCACCAGCTCATGGATGCGTAACTGCCGATTCGTCTTCTCGGCCATGCTCTGCAGCTCCTCGTCCGTGATGCCGAACTCATTGCGGGCTCCGCGGCGGAAGGGCTCGATCAGGCGTTTGTGCTTCAGCAGCGTGTCCGCCCGTGGCTGCTCGGAGACGCCTTTCAGCATGATGAGCTCCGAGTACTTGATGCGGAACTTGGTCAGCAAGCTGGCCATGCTGTAGGTTAATCATCGAAAAAATAAATCAATTTAGTTAAAGCTCATTAGATAAATAAGAGTCTGTTTTACGGCCATTTGTTAATTTTTAGAAATACTTGTTTTCATTTTTTCTTTTCACGGTGCACTAGGCCAGATTGACTTTTTTAGGCAAAGAATCGATCAACGAAGGCATTCAAATCTATGTCTTCGGTCTTCGATACCTTATATATAACGACATAATAGTTTTACGATTTTTCACTCCAAAAATTTCATAGAAGTATTAATTAATAGTTTTTTATTTCTTACTTGACTGGTTTTAAAACTTTTAATAGCTATTCTCAAATGGGACTTAAAATGCTAAATTAAATTAAAAGAAAGGAAAATCGGAAAAAAGTGCTTGCAATCCTGCAGGACCGTCATAATAGTTCGGCTATTTTTGATAACATATATTTTGTAATATGGCTGAAAACAGGTATTTCCAAGCAAATTAAGGAATAACTTGAAATAAATATCTGGAATACAAAAGTCTTACCTCTTTTCTTCCTGCTCCTCGTCCTTGCCGTGGCACATTGCGAACACCCTCAGCTTGCAGTTCTGCCAGTGGGAGCGCATGGAGATGATGTATGGCAGGAGAATGGTGAGACCTGTGTTCCACAAAAGGATTAGAAGGGGCCCCATGTATAGAAAGAAAGCGATCACCCACCTCCGTCGTCGTACAGCCAGAAGACATCGATTGTGCCCTTGGGCTGTTTGCTCGTGAATATGGTCATGGCCTCCAGGAGGTTCTGGGGAATATCCGAACCGCCCTTGGTGTGATATGTCACGGCCGGCTCGTCCGAGCTGTTCACCTTGTAGCTGCGGGAGCTGCGCTGCATGTTGGGCATTGGCGCAGGCTGGGGCATTGTGAACGAGGAGTTGGGACTGTCCATTCCGGCCAGGTTCAGGTTGGAGTCGATGTGCAGCAGCTCGGAAGCGGCGTTGGCCGCCGGCATCAGTTCGTTGGTGAATCCCTGGGCATTCGCGGTGTGCATGTGTCCCATTCCGTTGGCCGGCAGGGTGACCTCGGAACTGAGCTCCGAGAAATCCAGTCCGTTGGGTAGACGGAGCAAGGCGACGCCCATGCGCTGCGAGAAGGCATTGCTGTTGGAAAGGTCGAAGTAGTGGGCAATTCCTTTCATTATAGTGAATAAGAGACACTTACTACAAAATGGAAAAGTAACTCTCCACCTCCTCCTTGCGACAGCGATTCCAGTCCGGTTTGTAGCCCACCAGCACAATGTTCGGAGACATCTTTCCGAAGCCAGTAGACTTGGTCAAAGCATTTATTCCATCCTCCAGGCTGAACCCGTCGATCACATTGTAGAACGCCTTGATCTTGCGGGCATCGAGATACTTCTGTCCATCCTTCACCAGGTGCTGCCGGTTCTTGTAGCCCACCCGCACCTGTAATCGGAATTTAACATTACATAAATCATAGAATATTTTCTTGAAGACACTTGTGATATATAAACTATGTCAGGATAATCGGAGCCTCCGATCAAGATTAAGTCAATTATCGTACCAATGTACCCAAAGAATTTAATAAAATTTAATTTTATAAAAAAATAATTTATCAAATATTTAATTATTTAGATTTTATAAAATATTTGATAATTCAAATAATGAATTATTTATTTTGAGAATTATAAAAAAAAAATTCAATGCAACTTATATTTGTGGTACATTTTTAACTCAATATTTAAGCAATAGAAAATCATTTTATTTAAAATTACCAAGTTTTTAATTATTTTTTGTTTGGCAATTATAAGAATAAGTCATAGGTATTAAGGAAATTTACTTTAAATTGAAAAAGGAACGAACGATTAATGGCATCCAGAGTAATTTATAACTCTGTTATAGATTATTTTTAGTAAAAATGATTAAATTTTAAAATAACTTTTGAACATACCGGTATTATGTTGGCCACAAACATGAGGGAGTTGTTCTTGGTCAGCAGATAGCCGAAGTCCACCAATGGAGGCCTGGTCTTCGGGTCGCCGGATAGGACCAGCACCTGCGGATGGTAGTTCTTGACGTGGTCGGAGACGTTCTGCAGCCGATGCACGGCCATCAAGGCCGCCTTGTACTGCTGGGCCTGCGTGGTGGATCCCCAGTTGGCCTCCGGCTTGCGGTACATGACCACCAGGTAGAGGGCGAAGATGATGCCGAAGGTGATGATGGCCGCCACGTAGTTTATCAGGAACATAATGGCCACGCACATGGCGAACCCGAAGAGACTTAGCCAGGCGTTGTAGTACTTGAAGGTGGGTCGCCAACCCAATGGCTTCACGAAGGCCGCGTGGAATGTGCAGAAGTTGATGAGTGCATAGGAGGCCAGGTAGAAGGTGGAGATCAGGGGAGCGATCAGGTTGAGCTCTCCGATCAGCAGGAAGCCCGTGGTGATGAAGAAGGTGAGCACATAGCCGCGGTACGGCTCGCCGTGCTTTCCATATGGCTTCGAGAAGAAGATCAGCCCCGGGTAGATCTGGTCGATGCCCAGCGCCTGAACCAGTCGGGGCACTGACAGGAGGTTGGTCAGGGCCGTGCTCAGCGTGGCCGCGAAGCAGCCGGCGTAGATCAGCGGACCCCACAGCGACATCTCCTGCATCATTTCGTACGAGTTGAAGAGACCCCAGGTGCAGTTTCCAGAGGCCATGCAGGGCAGTTCCGAGGACACGATTGTGCCGTTGATCAGGTCGGCCGGATTGCCGGAGGCGTCCCGCACAGCAGCTCCGCCGGCGAAGAGGACGAAAAGGGCGTAGGAAGACATCGAGATGAGCAGGGACCAGAAGGTGCCCTTTGGAATGGCTGCTCCGGCATCCTTGAGATCCCCACAGATGTTCGCCCCAGCCTGAATACCCGTGACGCTGGGGAAGAAGATGGCGAACACGCTGAAGAAGTCGTGGTTCACGCCCTCCGCGTACCGATAATCCGAGCCAAAGTTCTCCTTGAACGTAGCCCCTGAAAGACGATATGAGTTGTAGCGTAGTTATTCCCTGTAGGTACTGTCAACTCACATGAGAAGCCCACGAAACCCTTCGAAATGTTTTCCTCATTGCCCTGCGGTCCAATGGCAGCCCCGATTAGAAAGTTGAAGATGGCCAGGACAATGGTGACGATCAGGAAGTTTTGGGCCTTCGTCTCCCACTCCATGCCCACGCAGCAGATCAGGATGAGCACCAAAACAGTCACCGATCCAACGATTCGGATGTCATTGATGCCATTGTCGACAATCTTCAAGTCATTGTTCTCTGGAAAAAGGTTGTCGAAATATTAATAATTTGCAGGAGTAATTTTTGGGTTAAGTTTTTTTATGAAGTATTTTTAATTAAAAGCAAATTGTAACAGGTCAGATAGTTTCAAATAAAAATGAAAAAGAAGGATATTAAGTTTTATTTATTCAAATCAGATAACTATTTTCCAAAACTGCCGTATAAATAATCGCACAATACTCCACTTTGTCACACAAAAAAACTTTAGTGGTCCCGGGTATTCAAACTTAAATATGAATTAAACTGATACTCACTCAATAAAACATTTAGCGATTCGCAGAAGCCGATGGTGTTCATTGAGGCCGAGACGGCGTTGGCGAACGCAAATACCACGCCCACCGACGCCCCAAACTCGGGGCCCAGCGAACGGGATATGATGAAGTAGACCCCGCCACCCTTGACCTCTCCGTTGGTGCTAATGGCCGACAGCGAGAGCGTCGTGATGACGCAGACCACCGCGGAGATCGTAATTATAATCAGCGACTGCAAGATGCCGGACTCGGCCACCACCCAGCTGAGGCGCAGGAAGAGCATGACGCCCCAGATGTTCAGGAGACATGGTATCAGGACGCCGACAATCCATCCCAGCTTAATGTGGCCGCCAGGGGCTTCCGGTTCGGGTTCGGGTATGGTAATGCTCTGAAAATATGATAAGATAGTTTGTTTATTTACTTTTTAATTAATACGTAATAACTGCATGGCTTACTTTCGAATAGATATAAACAAATTCTTATAAGTCGATATCGTTTTTAATAGAAGCAACGTGCCCTGATCTACGATAACTATGATGTTCATTAATCTTCTTTGCTAATTCTTTAAACACATAACGAAAGGCCATCATCAGACCGCTAATTGATGCAATCATTATTTGCGTGATAATGGGATCTTGACA